TCCTGCCTCTCCTTTGGAAGACAACATCATATCATGCAATCTCAGTGGGTATTTCCGATATCAGCTCTCCAGCTGACCCCGACTGTTGTCACATCATCATACACCGTCGCGAAGGAGTTGTATGATCGATCTAGGGGCGTCGAATTTTTGTTCCGTCTCGGTTCTTCCCTTGGACTGTTAGCCCTTTGTCAATTACTGCCTCTTGATCTTCTTTTCACGTCCGTTTGATTCCGCAGGCCCACTTCCGCCATGTTCACAGCCGCGACCTGGTTTCACCGCTTTTTTATGAGACATTCCATGGAAGATTATCACAGACAGGTATTCTTATCTCACAATTCCTAGATAATGCGGACGACGTTCCTTCTAGGACGTAGCAGCTTCCTGTATATTCCTTGCAACAAAGACGGAGGAGTGCGGACGCAAACTTCGCGACGTCGCAAGAGTGTGTCAGGCTAAAATTACAGGGAAAGATGTCTCCCTCATACACAGCGAAAGCCCAGCATGTAACATGTTTTTGTTTGCTCCAACTGAGCTCATCTATCCTCAGGAAGTCGATCAACTACAAAACGTTATTCTTCTCACAGAAGAAGTCCTCCTCGAGGCGCTTTGCTTTGATTTCGTAGCCCCGAGCCCTCACGCCGAGTTAATCGATCTTTTCGATGCCTACCAGGAAGACTCTCGAGTTCACGATTACGCGTGGAGTATTGCCCATGATTCGTAAGTTAGTCGTCCCAAACTTACAGAGGCGAATCCTTGTCTCAATTCATGTGCCAGTTATCGGACACCATTATGCATCTTATTCCCTCCTCGTATCATCGCATGTACTTGCTACGTTCTGGCGCAGCGAGCTGTTGATGGGCCTCATTCAGCGTCCCTGGATGCCCGAATCTCCGCATCTCCGCCTTCAGCATCCCTTCCGACACCTCCTTCTCATAAACCCGCTTCACCTGATGCTTCTCGCTTCGCAGTTGAATATTACGGGTTCACAGAAGATGACATAGCCAAGGTCTCAGGTAGGTCGATCGGAACTGGCTACCAATCGTAACTGAGAAATTCTGGTACGTCTTAGACGCCTTGAGCATACTGCTTGAATATTATTCAGCTCAAGACATGCAGAACGCGCCTCATGTAGCGCCTTTAACCATGGTTTGATGACCCACTGTAGTTTTGACCCTGCACGGTCTGAATAGGGTTCACAGATTTCCCCTCCCACAAGTTCCCTACGCCCAACTCTTTATGAACCTTTCTCTCAGGTTCCACAGCTATTATCGCAATCGGCATCTTTCCCCCCCGCAGGCACCAGTAACAGAACGCCAATTTCATCATACGGGGGTAATACGCCCGCCAAGACACCATTGCACGTTGCTGAACAGCCGGAAAGAGCCATCCTAGAATCAACAAAGAAAATAATAGGCCGCTTGGATCTTAGCTAGAATGATTACAGCTACCTCACGGCCTCGCAAAAGAATTTCTGGCGTAACGTTCACGCGAAGTCTTTTTGTGGGAGACATACTTATCGGGAATTCTAACTGATAGTGATTTACTGTTCATCTATTTTTGGGATGCGTTACATTGAATTACAATCACCAGATCTCTGAAAATCCTGTAGGTGCCTTGGTTGTTTTTAACTGATCGGGAGTACTAGAGGATAGTTATCGTCGTGGCTGGGCTGAGATGAAAACGAAGCACTCGGCGTAACCTTCTCAAACTGGAAGGGAAACAACAGATCGGTAGACCTACAATAATAGTGAGCGCGCATGCGCAACCTGCTTCAATCAAATAGAATCGAATGGCGCGGATCTAGTCATCTCCATCCCAGAGGGTAAATATCGACTTATCAGTGACGGCGAGATCGGAGGCTGAGGCTGTGAGATGATGACTAGGATAAGCTGGTTCAATTCGAACTTCTGGGACCACCCAACCTCCAGGAAGCCCCATTGCTGAACAAAGCCAGAATAGCAGGAGTTGTAAAACAGATGGGTCGTGAGAGTCATGGCTATACACTGGGGAGACAAACGCTGCAGTCCACCCTGAATGCCGAGGCTCAGCGGAAAACACAGGTAGGCGACTAAATCCAGCTCACCGTTCGAGAATACTCCAAAGACCCAATGCGTGTAAGTGCTTACGACAAACCATGGGCAGCTTCTAGTGATACAGCAATCCCATAGCTGGTGGGTGGCGTGAGTACGTGACTCATTGGGATGAACGGCGGCGTCTCACCTTGTACCATAGCCTTTCATGGGCTGTAGTAGGACGTTCGTGCCACGGGGTCGAGGATGATCCGAAGAACTGGCGACATACGTTAGCAGCGAACGCTTCGAAAGTGTTAGCCGTCCATACTGATTGACGTTTGCAAAATAGGTCAAGATCACGGCCAGAGAGGACCCAAGGGGGCTGAATGAAGATGCTCATGGCATTCCGGCAATGCCGCTCATCGTCATGGTCCACTAGTTGGGACCATGTTATACATTTGAAGATGGTGTGATCCGGATCATCTGCGTCAGAAGCAAAAGACCAAGCTTTTGTCTCAGGGTAGAGGAGATGCACGGCTCGTCGCACGGTTTCGAGCGGGAGAAGATCTATCCACGTGAACAATCTTCGAGTACAATTAGAACGGCAGAAAGTCAAGCTTATGATTATTACCGCTTGAGGCTATCAGCCCGGGCCAGACTGATAGACGGAACTTGATAGAAAGGTGGGCAAGGCACCGTGAAGCGTTCGCCCGTTTCTTTATCCTCGTCTTCTTCACCGAGCGACACGCACGGAACAAAATCCTCCGTCCCTAAAATCAATTTTAGACCCGGAAAAGCCGTAGCATGAGAATTCGTACAGTCTTGACAATATTGGTTGAAAAGCGCGAGCCGAAGTGGATGGATTGCTCTTAGTTTCCTGTATCGGCGGGGAAGAGCATGTAAAGCGGCGTCAACGCTGGGCTGAGATGAGTTCCAATTAATGGACACGAGGCGCGCTTCCTGCATGTAGAATCTCAGATTATCAGGAGCTCTCCAAGCCATAAGCGTAAAGTTTTAACTGTGAACGAGTCACAGAACACATGCACAGAACAAGCGATGAACAGGACGAGCGGGGAGTCGGCTCTTAGGTATCAAACTATATAGTTGGTCTGGACCTTCCCGTGTGCCCTATATAGATGTTCGATAGTCATTGTACGCGGCCAGAGTTGGATTAGACAAAAAGTACAAGGTGCAGAGTCTGCAGACCGAGAACAACAACGTCAATTGTGACGAGTTTGGCATGATCATCTCACTAGTGGTGTTACCGTGGGACACGTGGTTATTATTAAGCCGGAGAACACGAAAAGCATGATTACATTATCGCAAAATATTGAACCTTCCAGTAATTAGTAAGTTAAATACGGGCTAGCGCCGTCAGCATTAGGGCAGCGGTTTTATGGTATATCTATGTTGTCAGGGACTAAACTGTAACCCCACTATCGCATCCCGGAAACTCGGACCATTGGCATTACTTCATCTCTGGTCTTTAAGACACAGTCGCCGCATTTTGAAGGGCTTATGCGAATAGGATTCTTGGTGGGCAGGGCCATTAGTCGTATGCAAGATTGTGACTTGCATGCTTTGAACAAGTCAATACATTGCAAATGGGAAACAGTCGAGAGGCACACCTATAAGATGGATATGTCTTGAACTGAAGAGACAATTTGGTCGCAGGCAGTCCTGGAACTTTGTCGACATGGCAATGAAGTGGCTACATTCGGTGTGGTATCGACCATCAATGATCTATGGAAAGAAGCAGGTCAATCCGGGGACCGGGTCAACATCAGAGCACCGACGAACATTGTGACACATCTCCGTCGCGGAATGTTGGGGATGAGTAGGAGCTTGAGTAGGAGCTTTTTAGTAGTAGTCGCGGTAGATGATTGTGCTATTGAATTGACGTCTGGTCATTAGGTGCGAGCTTCTTATGTACAGAAAACTCGTACATCATCCTATGTCGCGTGGGAATCGCGTTCCGTCCTGCAGCAACATGCGTCGTGAAATCCAAGAGAATATCGAGAGGCCGCTAGGCAGCCTTTTTACCTTTCAAAGTGAGTGCGCAACCGCCGGCCGTAGGGTCGCCGAGCATTCCGATCACCCTTACACGCATTCTACTGCATTTACTCCAAATGGGCCCCAATTCACAGCAGCGATGTGGTCACGCCACATACCTAGTCCCAGGAGCCGGCAAGTTTCTATTGAACGGTACCGAACCGATTCGCAATGAAGTACGGAAGGCGTGCTAGTCGTGTCTTGATTCAGGATATCAGCACACGGCACGAGGGACCAATAGATTCTGACTTAATCGCTCGTCGTGGCAGCCATGAGGTCGGAAGGGGCGGCCTCGTGTCCCGCGACGGCACTAGTCGGACAAGAATGCATCCCCGGGGAGTATTCCCCCTAGATGGAAGAGCTGAAAAGGGCTGGTACTAGGAGGCTCGTCACTCGGACTATTAGATTGATTATACCTGTTCCCAGATTAGTTATGTATACTGATAGAGGAGTGGGCAAAACGAGGTCGAGATTCTAGACCTAGAACACTAAGGGCGAGAAACGGCGAGAATTTGGTACTTCACAAATCGCCACGCACCGAACGTCGGCTTCGGCCTTTGTTTGATGAAAGAAGAATCATTATAATACCAAAAACAGGTTGGCAAGGTATGTAATTTTGCACGTCAACGTCCCGCGGGGAAAGAGTCCGCCAGAGAAATATATATGAAGACACCGGGGACACTGATCGCAAGGACAAGAGAATGCATTGATGTCTTAGTAGGCTCCACGACGACGTATAGTGCTAACAAGTTGCACTTTCTTTCGCACCTACACAAGCATAAGCACAACCCTGAGAGAGCATGGCCAAAAAAAAATGAATACCTCGTTGGCAAACATTCTTCTCCACCTTTCACTGCTTAAGCGTCTCCGCTTTACGCCCTTCTTTTCATGTCGTCTTTGCCGCGACACCTCCTGCATTACACGATTCCGTCTGAGACGCGTTTGTAACCTCCTAAATGCTTCACCCAAGTCTCCGTTTACAAATACTCTTCTACCTGGACGGGTCGAGATCAGCCGAGAACACGACCTAGAGTGCTAGAGAACCAACCCGTGTACGGATCAGCTGGAGGGTTGAAAGTTGCACTCCGACTCCGTTCAGCCCATAATTCATCTGGGGTTGGTGGGTTCTGTTTTTGAGCTGTTCCTGCTGTGCGGTCTATAGTATCCCAGATAGCCTGCGTCCAAACACGGTCCTGATTTTTGGTTCTATCGAGCATAGCGGGTGGGTGACGGACGTTGGAGAGCATTCGAGCCGGTAACTTAGGTCTTTGAGAGAACACTCCTCTTGCAGTACTGCTCAGTACTGCAGATGTTACTCCTCGTAGCCAGGACATAGCCGCTGTAGAAGGGTCGGATCCAACGAAACGTTTGAAAGCTTGACGCTTTTCGGACTCTTTTCACCATTGTCCATATTTGGTCAAAAACCTTAATGGTCGGCAATCGGACGATTTCCTGAACACAACGATGTCCGCAGAGGTTCTTACGGAGGAGTTTGAGGTCTATTCCTATTGTTGCAGAGCTTTACGTTATGCTCAATGCATGTTTAGGTACTTGAATCCATATACCCTACAGAGCTGTCCAGTTCGTCCTTACCGATCTTGACTACAAATCAGTTCACTAAGACCCTTACCAAGTTGTTTCGGACAGGGAGATCCAGATCGATGTCGAGCCTGATGAAGCGATAGATAACGACCACCCCTGTAAGATTTGTCGTCAAACCTCACTATTACATAGTCCTGAAACCTTGTGAACAGTCAAACTACAGCTATCCGTCCATTACCCCGATGAATACCCTGACAGCCTGCCTCACCTGACGTTGGTAGCGATCGAGGGTGAACTCGAAGACACTGAACACGAAGCACTACTAGACAGTCTTACGGAAGTTGTGGGTGATGTTTTATGATGTTATGACGGATCTCATGGTGATCGATAGGGCGAAGAGAATGTTGGCATGGCCATGACATTCACTATTGTCTCTCATCTTAGAGAACAGATGACGTCCCTCGTTCGTAAAAGGGCAGATCAACTCATGGCTGAGGAAACAGAAAAGGAACGCCTGGCAATTGAGGTAAAGTCGAGCGTGTTATTTGGACAACAAGGAGTTCACATTACCAGGCGGAAGAAGCGAGGACTCGCGGAACCCCAGTTACAGTGGAGTCGTTTAAGGCATGGAAGATTAAATTTACCCGCGAGATGACGCAAAAGAAGACGAAAGACGAAGAAGAAAAGCTGCGCGCACTCTCGCCGAAAGAAAGGGAAGAATGGAAACGTGCAGCAACTCGACCTACTGGTAATTCGGAGTTCAGTGTATTTTGACGACATCCTTCTAATTTTTGATCAGGTCGTCAATTGTTTGAGAAGAACAAGAACTTGGAGCACGATGATGACAGTTTCGTGGAAGAAGGCGCCGTTTCTGTTGATATTAGCCAGTATGACAGGAGCCAGCTGCGCGCACATGAAGATGACGATGACGATGGCGATGGAGTGCATTTTAGCGATAGTGATTAGAATAAAATAAGAAATCTGACAGTATATCTGTTTCTTTTAAATTACAACCCAGCCAGCAACCCGGCCTCTCCCTCTGTACCCATAATGATATCGCTTCCTTCTAGTTCTTTGCACCCCAGTCTATCGATGCCAACCTCCTTGATAAAGCCGCCCTCTTCATGCAATGGTCGCCAACGTGGAGGCGAACGAACAAAGTCTTCTCCTGTTGCACGCAGCCATTCAAACACCGGGCCCTTGATCCATCGCCTGATCTCTCCCCATACCTCGCCTGATTCAAACCATCCAAGATGCCCACCGCAGGGTGTCAGGGCCATGATTGCCCACCCATTACCTTCCACATCCATTGGCACATCCTGAACCACAGGGTCATCTGCAGCGTTGATGGCTAAAAGTGGGATTTTTATCTTGTTAAGCACATTGTGGCTTGATGAATATTCATAATAATCAGATGCTGATGCGAAGGGCCAAGGAGGCGAAGAACCACCACCAATTCTCGTGAAGTGTTCGTCAAACATATCGATCGTGGGTTTAGTGAGGGCCATAGTCACAGCGGCAGCTTTAGCGACCTCATGATCGGATGCAAACGTGCTAACATGCCGCTTCAGAAGATTAACCAAATTCCGGCCCATGCCTTTCGAGTAAACATGACGTCCAATATACGTCGTCAAGAGCCTGGCCGGTGTCAGTAAACGGATCCGTAAGAAAGAAGTTGGACATACTTGGAAGAATTCGCCGCTAAATTCCAGGGCTTCCTTGATAAATGAAATTGTCACCGTTCAAGCTTAAACCTGCGAAGCACGTACACATCCGAGAACACATGCTGATTTCAAACGGCTACGTTCACCTTCCTCTGCGACATACCGTGTCATAACGTTCGCTCCAAGAGAGAAAGATAGTCCCAATAAAGGTGCTTCTGGGTATCGATGAGATATGTAGAATAAAGCTTGACGGAGATCATCTGTATGGCCGGCGGAGTAGAGTTGTGGGCTCGTGACCGGGACACCTGCGCCTGCGGGACAATCAACATCCATGACAATGTTTGTGGGTCCATTCAGAATGGGAACTGACATCCGCGGAAATTAACCACGACTGCACGATATCCGAGTCCGCCCTGGTGGACCGGCACGCACCCGGGAGAGAGAATAGCTCTCACGTACGATTCGTATGAACCTTGAGAAGTTTTGGATGATTAGATTCCAGCTGTTTATCGCGTAGAAGTCTTCATACCTCCTGTGAGCCCATGCAGGACGACGATGATTGGAGTGTCGGGTGGCAAATGGCTGTCATCCGACGGCGTGAAGTCCAAACCCCTAGTTGATATGAAGCATATCAACGAAAACAGACACCGGAAATGAACTTACAGGGTTCCGCCGTCGAGCAGGCGGAGCAGGGTCCTAACTTATTGTATTAGAGTCCATTGTCGAACATTCGTATGAACACCATCACCGTTTATACACCACCTTATCTCTGGCTGAAAAATCTCCGAGGACGCAATAGAGAGTCTGCATATGGCCGCTGAGTTGGCATGAACGACCTGTAAACTCAATAATAATAATATTTTGGCGTACTTGGGCAACCACCATACGGGACGGAACTCCGAATAGAGTGATGGGCATCGTCGCTCCACAAAATCGCGTAGAAAAACACTGGTTGTGTTCGAATGTTGTTCTTTTGTGACTATCAGAGTAGATTCTTTTGGATATCGTACTTCCGTGGTATAGCGTGCACTCCACCAGTTGAAAAATGAACTCATATTAGGCAGCGAGAGAATGCGAGAATATAAGACGATGTGGTGGGAGCAGAGCGAGCGTCGCTTGCAGGGTAAGGACAGACAAGACTAGACAAGACGGAAATCTGTAAAGTCGAGGCGATGAAACCGGAGCCAGTCGATTGTCATGTGAGAAGCCGGCGCCTTTACAACTCAAGTCCTCGTGCAGGGGGATCAACACGCGCGCTACTGTATGGACATATATCTTTGCGATATCGATCATGATTTCCCAACAGCGTGAAACCAACAAAACTAATCTTTAGATGCTTTAGCCGTGTACCAGTAGTCGGATGGCAAGATAACTGATCTAGCTATATGCACCAGGCAGGGAATGTTGAACATGATACTAATACGGGGTCGCCAACTCAACAGATCCTCCTGTCGTGGATATCATTGGGGATCGGATGCCCATATGTCTGGCGGCGAGTTGCAACGGAAGCATCGAAGAAGCTCGCAAAGCTCAAGCTTCGGACGAGTCACGCGCTCCGTCACACCCCCTGGACGAGGCCCACACTATAAAGCTAACCTCCCCGCCTTTCTTTCTATTATTCTGCACCTATTCTCAACCGCCACGACACACCTTTCTCTTACTGTCAATAGGTACCCTTGTACCAATATCATGTCGCTCTATAAGACAATGCGCTGTCGTGTACGTACCTCTCCCAAGTTCAATCTTGATCGATCTTCCGCTGACGCGTCAGACGCGTCCACCGGTTTGCCCGCTGTGTTCACAGTATTTTGACGAGCATGGTAAAGGTATAAAGCCATTCTGCAACCAAGGGAGTCGTTGTCGGTACGCGTCATGCTATCCATCTCGGCATGTACACGTCCTAACTTGGCGATCTGCAGGTTTATTCACCCATCTGATCTTCAATGGGATAAAGGCCGCGTCAACCCCGAAAAGTCTGCTTATAATGATACCAAATGCGAAAAATCCAAGACCAAACCGAAACACAAGCCAAAAGCGTCATCGACAAGTCCTTTACAACGAGGCCCTCGTTCATCGCCACTCGTGCCACAATCTGACTTGTTCAGGCGAAATCATGGGGAGCTCGATAGAGAGCGCGGTCGCGACCGCGAAGTAAAACCTATTCAGCGTGACCGCCGTGATAGGGACTTCGATTCATGGGAGCGTTATGTGCGCGAGCGCGATCACTCCAGGGATTTCCGAAGGTCTTCCCGGGAGAGGGCTGACGAAGAGAGGGCATTACATTCTTCAAAGCGATCTAAGAGAACCGAGGGGGTCAGTACTCCATATCGGCTCTACGGACGACAAGATCTAATCTGAAGGATATCAGCATGCAATCCGGCCTTCAGTTATGGAATCAGGTGACAATCCTGAGAGCGGCAGTCGCCACGGAAAAGACCGTCTAGATGCTTCTCAGATGACGCCAGGAAATCTGTCTTTTCAATCGAGAGACGATAACAAGAGGTCCATCGACGTCATCAGCGAGTTCTCTAGTCGTCTTGCAAAGTAAGAGACCCCCTGTGATTGATGCATACGGGAAGACTAAAAAGCAACAGGCTGTGCAGCCGACTGGTTCAAGATTCATGTCAGCTTGACAAGGAAGAAGACAAATTAAAGGCATTTACGGAGTTGTCTACCGAGCTTTCCAAAGCTGCGCCGTCTACTGCGATGGCGGTGACTCCTGCTTTGGCAGCCGTTATAACAAGTCACGCGAAATCCAAAGAGCGTGTGGCAACCCGCGTTAGAGAACTAGATTCTCTGTGGGAGAGCCTGCTCTCAAATATTGTGACGAACATTGTCAAAACGACAGATATCAACTTGGAGCGCGCCATTGCATTGTTGCACACAGAAACGGATGTGGCTCTGCAGTCATATTTTCGATCTTACAGTCCGCTCTTGCTCAAACGGAAGGCACGGCACCAATCCTGGGGGGAGCTGGACGAGCTATTGGAGTTGAAGAATACTTCAGCCGACGACGATGGAGAGAATGGAGCAGCAGGTGCTGAACATGGGTCCAAGGCATGGTCGCGATCACCAGATTCAAAACGTCGTCGGGTGGAATCATCTACGCCAACAGCGGTTCCTGTAAAGGAGGAAAACGTTGACTATAGAGGTTTGCTGGAGGCAATGAAATCGTCCTTGGCTATGCAGACGCGAACATTTGAACTGCTTGCCAAAGAAAAACAACTGGTGGGTGGCGTCATCGGTCTGGACAGGAAATGTTAATACAGGTGTAGCTGAAACAAAATCCTCAGGGTAGCTCACGTGATGCAGATTATCGTGCAACATCGATCACATCTACCCGTCGAAATTCTTCTGCTGAACGACAGACCACCGCGATGCAGGTGGGGGCACTATCTTGACGAAAGCCCTCGGCCTAGACAAAGGACTGCCATCATACGTGTAATTCAAGACGTCCATTTGCATCCTCTCGCATAGATCCGTAGATTGTAAATCCAGCATGCAGCATCATTTCGTGATCCCGCCCGTAGCAACGTTTTAGTGGCGTGGCCCATGTACCCTGTATTATGTTTGCTGGACTGTGTTTGTCTTGTCCTGTATCCTTAGAAATTGAGGGCACCGTATCATGCAGGTTGGATGAGAAACGCCTTTGAGTAGCTTTGTGTGCAACCTTTGAAAGTGAAAGTGATGGTGAAATGGTGAGGTTGCATAAGTCACGTGTGACGCGTACATGGACGTTTGTGTTGGTTGTGCATGTCGTGAACAGCCAACAGTTCGGCAGCTTTGGTCGATCGTCGATCATCACTCTGCTATATTCAAGGCCTTGAACGATTTTGTTGTTCCGCCATACTGAATGTCTTACGGCTCTCCATTTAACGTCCATAGATATTGCAACAATCGTGGACAATTTGATGAATACCGACGACACCAACTCCCCTGCTTCCACCGACAGTGATGCTGTCAATTGCTCAACTGCGAGAGTCTACTTCGGTCCAGTACAATCACCGGAGAAGAGACTCATCGCTAGCGAGGTCACGCGAAGACGTGGGCTGAGTGTTGGCACCGTCGACTCTCTCCTTCGTCCATCGGGACTGCCTGCTCTCCATGCCCCTCCATCGCCACAGGAAATCACGCGCGCACCGGACGAAAGTGTCGAACGAAGCGACGAAGATGCAGATGAGATCTCTGATGTGGCTGCTCATCTATCTCGTGAAGACACGCCTGAGAATGATACCTTGGGCCAGAACGGTGAGCTTTGTTCGTCTGCTCTTCGCAGCTAAATTCCAAACATGGACTTTCAGAACCATCATCCGTTCTTGCAAGTCGAATTATGCGGGCTTGCGATAATCCTTCCCCTCCTCCGCGGGCCCACCCCACCCTTTACTTTGGTCTTGTGATGAGGGATGGACGCACACCATTCCCAGATATATCTGCACCCCCTAGCCCGTTTCGCCCCATAAATTTGCGTGAGAGACTGAGCCAGTTCTCTCCGACAGAACGTGCTTTGTCGCAAGAACCACCGCAGCATCAAGTTTCCTACAATCAGAATTCACCTCCACAGGATTCTGCTGGTAACATCTTTCAGCCCGATCTCATCTCATTTGAATCTTGCTCCGCACTAGTCAAGACTGCGGAATCTTCTACAGAAGGACGTCCCTGTGGTTCTCCAATTCAAACTTTATCGTCTAGCGTAGATGATCTCCTCTCGCAATCCCCAGAGCATCCTTCTGTCATACCTGCCCCTCGTGTAGACGGCATAGAACAGTCTAGTTCCTCGGATAGCCTAAATAAGCTTCCTCAGGGATGCCCACCGGCTGACATGGAATCTAGACCACCACACTCCAGCTTTCCTTCGCCGTTAGTCGCCACCTCCAGCGCACCAAATGTTACTGAGGAACATGCAAGATTACCCGTGCGGCGATCAGCACGCCTTAGTGGGACTCCACGCCCCAACCAAACCACTCACACACAGCAACCTCCGGAAACGCCGAAACTCAAAGGAAAATCGAAGGCGACAATAACCGCGCCCGAGGGGAACGTTCCCCTGATGCGGGATGAGCAACCTGTTGATCGTGGTGATGCAGATCCATACCCTGATATTCAAGGATTGGTAGATGATAAAGAGAGACGACGATCACGAAGACGGGCATTAAACGGGAAATATGACACCACCCCCAATTTCCAAAGGGAATTAGGGTCCCTTTCTCCCCAGTCCGCGGATGTCTTAACGCGTTTATTGCCGTCCGAGCGATCTACGCCACTCCCAGAGGGACAGTATTCGCTACCACAACGTGAAATTTCTTTGGTATCTTTGGACCCTCCATTGTTGACACCACAGAGGCCAAAATCAGATGCTCAGCAACCAAATTATCCCCTGGCCACTGCGCAGCGGCCATTGGTTGTCGCTCCAACACCTATTCGTCCGAATGGAAATCTACTCGGTTCTTCCTCTCATCTCAAGTTTTCCTTGACCGTCGACGATGCCTCTCGCACACCAGCGAGAAGGGTGCCCATTCAAGGTGCCTTCGTACAGGGCTCTGCATCCTCACAAAACACAATGCTATTGTCTGCGAAACGTGACGCATCGACACGGTTGGTGGGCATGCGTGGACCCGTCTTTTCGCGCCCTGCGTTGGACGATCCATCTCGTAGCCCTGCTAAGCGTATTCTAATCACAGATTTCAACAGTCCTGTGCGCTCTCCAACTCGACCAGCGGGTGCGAGGGCTCGAAGTGCCTCAGCGGAACCGAAACCCATTGTCTCTCAACCTCTCCGAAGTCATTCTGTAGACCCCTTACCCCGCGCCGCTGATAACAAGGGCAAAGAGCCTATGTTCCCTAATTTTTCTTCCAAACCGAGATCTGGCGCCAAACTGCCGTTCCCTCTAGTGGTTGGGCAGAAGACAGGGACGGATTTCCCGCAATCTATTCCTGAAGAGGCAGAAGGATCTGAGGCTGTCGGAGAAGATTTAATCGCTAATCAGGCTACATCGTCCTCCAGTCCTGTGAAGTTTAGTTTGAAACAGCCCTCTATTGGTAGTCGCATACCAAGAATTGGCGCCAAGCCTTATGCTAGACCACAGCCAAAGAAGCCGGTTTCATCCACAGCTGCAAAGTTACCTGCCTTTGGTACTGGACCGGTAAGCCCTCCAAGCGGGCTTGTTGCTGGATTGTACTGACGTGAATTGCGCTCATCAGCGTGTCCCACTTTTCAAATCAGCTCCCGCTGGCAATGGTAATAGCAGCTCCGAAGAATCATCTGCCATCGCCCCACCACTAAATCGAAAATTCGACGGGAAATCTGTAGCAGAGCCATCAGTACTCTCGACCCTGAAGCGAAAGCGTGGCATAGAAGAGACTGCTACGTCTTCCCCTACTCATCCTGTGATGGTCCGCCAGATTGTGCCTGGAATGCTTGGTAGCAAGTATGCCCCCAAAGCAGCACCTGGGCTCCCACCAACGGCTCCCTCTCTACCAGAGCCGAGTCCTCGGAAGCCGCCTGGCCCTATGAAGTTCCGCAAAGTCGAGCCCGGAGTCATATCAGCGCGTTATGCAGCGCCCATCAAACCGACTGCATCTGATTCTCCAGCCGCCGATGACCACAGCAGCAGCCCGCAGATTTTGATCGTGCCTGAGGCACCAGTCACCCAATCATCTTCACCTCCCAATTCAACCTTCCCGCCTGCTCTACCAGAACCTGAACTTGCAAAGCCATCACATGATGCTGTTGAGCCCAAAGAAACGGTGGAAGCATCTGCACATCAGCCACTAGCAAACCGAGGTCGGGGCCGTCGAACGTCTCGACGCAAGCCTGCAGCGCAGCATGCCAGCGACGTTTTTGGTCCGTCCACTTCAACGCAACCTCTCCAGCTTCGACGTTCACGGCGCTCTGAGGGCGAGGGCTTCATGGGGATGAGCGCAGTTGCTCTCCAAGCCCTCACCACTTCCAACACCACAAAAAACCAGGAAATTTTCGCAAAGCTGGAAAGGGAGGTAATTCGCAAGGAGGGCACCAGGCCAGAGAGCCCTGCAATCAAGGTTCGGACGATCTCGCAAAAACAGAGAGATATGAGGGATCGGCAACGACTTGAACGAGCTGAGCGGAGGGCGAAGCGGGGTGAAGACGGGCCCGGATTGAGTGATTGTGAAGGTGCTAGCGAACTGGGTGATCAATACATCCTTGGATTTGATAAAGAACATGATGAAAATGACGGGGTGGTCTGGACAAAGCATCGTAGGGGACCAGGAGAAGTGGAGGATTATGAGACGCCAGTTAGGCCTGATCGGCCGGTCAAACGTTTGCGGTTTGGGGAAGGCCCTCAGCAGGAAGAGGAAAGAGAAAGCAAACGGGTGAAGTGGCATCAGGGGTTATCCACGGAAATTTATTTGGATGAGGTTCATCCTCGACCTCACTCGTGGACTAAGGACTTTGTCATTGAGAAAAGCTGCTTAGCCCCGACGTCCAAGGCAAGTGGTTTACGTGACTTTGTACTACGTTCTTGCTCACCTTCCCCCAGAATCTTCGCTTAGACACTCTGGGCAACGTGATGGATGTCGAGCAGCATCCATTCACTGACCTTCACCCAGAGAACATCGTGGTAAAGAAGTTTGTGTATGACAACGACGCTGAGGTGGTGGTGAAAGAGGTTATACCCCCAAAAATCACCAGATCGAAGAGTAAGAAATCGAAAAGTTAGCTAGGCTGCATATTCTATTCACTCTCTAATGCGCATTTGTCGATACTGTCGATGCTGTATCCTTATTGTATCTGACACACGGTCGTTCGCTTCTATCGGCTTGTAGGGAATGTCTATGTTACAATGACTTCGAGTATCAAATCAGAACTGGGATATTACAGCTTCGGCGCCCTGTAACTGAGGGTGGCACTGGCTTGGTTCACTGGGAGCACGAAGACTTCAGCGAGATTGACATGTGGAGGGCGCGACGCAGCCCAGACTATCTCTTCCGCGATGTCCTCAGCCACCACTTTGTGATATGTGAGTATATGCGGGTTACAGGTATATTAAACCACTCACGAGGCTGAAGTCCCTCGTAGACTTTGTCTGCCGCGGAGTGGTCGCCTTTATAACGGATGAGAGAAAACTCGGTCTCCACCATACCTACCAACGACTTGAGTTTAGCCCTGGTTGCGATAGTGGTTCATATACCTGGTTGGATTTCGGTGACACGAATGGGAGTGTCGACAAGCTCCTTCATGAGAGAGCCCGTAAATGCACTAACAGCATGTTTTGTTGCACAATAGATGCTTCCCCCAACATAAGCTTCCCTGCCAGCGATCGAACCAAGGTTAATAACATGTCCAGTCTTCCTCTTCTTGAAGTCTACGAGGCTGAGTGAAAGTTATGACCAAGGGCTGAAATACACACCCTTGATGAACAACTGCGTCATGGCGATCAAGCCAAACACATTGGTTGCGAACATGCCCTCCACGTTATCCAGAGACAGGTCGCCAACCCTGTCCACTCCCACGACGTATCCAGCATTATTGACTGCAACCGAATTCAAATTCATATGAACACCACAGGGGATAGATCCACTCACCGAGGATGTCTATTTCGCGAAGATCGGCGGGTATCCTTTCTAGGAGGCCATTGATTTGATTTCTGTCCGAAACGTCGATTTGTATAGTGAAGAATTTGCCGCCATGTTGCAGGCCAGCTGCTTTGTGGGCAGCAGTACATTCATCTGCAACTTTCTGTAGCGCGTCTGCTCGTCGAGCGGTAAGTATGATGTTGGAACCTCCCTATGAGATATGAATGATTAGAAATATAGCATGTCATTGCGGACTACCTTGGCAAACAAAAGGGCGGTAGCCTGTGGGTCGATGATCAGATCAGTATTGGTGTCTCCCTCAAAGCTAGGTTTGTACACACCGCTCCGATACCAGAACTTGCTCCCGTGATAAGGACTGTCTTGCCAAGAAGGCGAGATGCGTTGAAGACGGTCATGTTTCGAGTAATAAGTTGGATTTGATAGACCTGCTGGGTGAACGAATGCTCTGTGGGGATAGTATCCGATCGTCGAATGCAAGAGATACACGAAGAAGTAATAGATCTCAAGCTTTATGGCATGTCACGGGCCGGAATTTCCATCATGGACGACCCGCGGAGAGCCGCATACATGCATATTTTCTCCAGTCCCATGACCTTGCATGGCACATAGTGGGAATAACGTCAACTTTTCCATGATGGCGAGCATCTCAAACTCGCAATCGTCGCTGAATTATCGATGGCCCAAGCTGCTGGCATGGTTGAGGACTCGAGGAATGAAAACAGGAACAGGCGACTTGCTGGTCGAGTGCAAAGAGACACCCAGTTGAGTCACCAACCGATTTTCCGGACGGCCACCGCTTGATCTAACATCCATCTGGACACACAGCTGCTGGGAATGGTCTTTTTGCTCGAACGTTGTGTACTGTGAGCTTTCGTGTGAATATGGATTGAGCCTTGCCCTGACAAACAGGACAGCCATCTTCCCTGCTATTTGCAATGCCGCCTCAGGCATTGATGAATATCAGGACGTTAAAGTCCCTCCATCCAACATCTGGACCCACTCCTTTGACCGCCACGCAAATGATATCTTTGCATCTGTATATCAACCGCCCGCATGGGAGTGAGGATTCACTAGACCCTCACTATGGACCATACATTTCGACACTTCCTAGGGAGTTCGACAGTCATCCTTTGACCTGGATCGTGCGATCAAAACGTGGCCTGGAGTCCGGAGGGGTCCCACTGCTTAAGTACCTCCCGCCGAGTGTGCATGCATCCTTGGTTAAGCTGCATGACCGATTTTGTCAAGACTGGGATGCAATCCGAGCGTACTTGGTAGGAAATACTCACTCAGTTTCGTCGTCTAAAGCCATAGCAGACCGCGAATTCGTACATCTCTTCAAAATATGATGCCTATTTGGACAATAACGACGTTTCTACCAGCAATTACGCGTGGGCTTGGTTGAACGGCACGTATTTTCTGCATGAACGAGACTCCCTTATCCACCTCGCCTCCAGTCAACACGCGCTGCATATATTACCGTCTGAAAGCATCAAAGGAAGACCCCGATAATCTCACTTTATGTCCCATCCTCGACTTTGCCAACCATACCCCGAATAGGTTGCATAGTATGACTCCAGCTCCATCAGAGGCCGATATTTGGGACTCTGCGCCGGTAAAGCAGATTGGATTTAGATTTCTTTCGCCAGCAGATGCATCTGTTCAAGAGGGGGAAGAGATCTTTTTGGCTTACGGGGCCCATCCTAACCGCACGCTGTTTGTTGAATACGGATTTGTCAACGAGTCATTAGGCAACGTTGAAATTACGGATGGTGAAGTCGATGTACAAGATGTGGTGGATTCCTTGATACTCGATCACAAATCCGGTGTCTTCGTCAAAAGCGTCCTCGAGGACGAAGGTTATTGGGGGTATGTACGTCTTCAACTTCTGGTCAATTAAGTTGCCTCATTAAGTTACCGTAGAGATTGGACCCTATATTGCTCGGCGGAATCAGCGCAGCCATCCTGGCGCTTGATCACAGCATTAAGACTTCATTGTCTTTTTGTCTCAAATAATACAATCCACCATAACGCCATCCAATCGTGGCGCGATGTCATAGCAGGCAAACGGGAGATGATATCTGATGGCAACGAACTCGCTTGGAAGGAGTCGTTGATCACGATTTGCGATACGATTATCACCAAAGCCCAGGCCGGTCTGGACAGTCTCGAGAACGACGGCGCCGAGGAGTATGGTCACAGTGGCAGTGACCGGTGGCTTCCCTGGATGTGCGAGAATATACGGACGCTTTGGAGGGAAGAGTTGTTGATAGCCGCAGCTGTCAAGGAACGTACGCTGAGAGGGGATGATTTCTGAGTTGATAACATGGATCTCCTCATGAAATAGGGTCGACGACTCGATGTCCTTGTGCTCCATCAAGGGCACTATCATATCGGGGGCAATTAAAATTCATGTGGCACTCGGATACATCACGACATCATGTCTCATTGAACATTTAGCATGACCATGATATTGCATATCATGAGCATACACTTTTACTACGAAGCTGGATCATTAAAGCTGGTGGAATCAGAGAACATGGAACATCAACTTATTCCCCGGCAACGCTGACCGTTTGGTAACTGATGTTTGCACTGTAGTGATAAATACCACTTGTTAAACTTTTACCGAAATGCCCTCCGAGGTCATAACTGGGTCTGTCGCTGAATTCCACGATGTCATGTCAAGCAATGTCAGTCGTGTTAGGTCGTGCTTACTTAGCGAGAGTGATGGTCTATCGGTCACTGACTTCATCTTCGTCACACGATGTCGGTGTGGGCGTATGTTAGGTGAACGATTTGACGTCTGCGGGGCCGGAGAATATGTCACTTTTTCACTCTGTCAATATGATTGCAACGCGGCGTCGAAGCTCGATCATGGGGAGCCATCGCTCCAGCACGACTCGAACTCAGATTCGCTGAATCCTGATCATTCACAACTAACCGATCATGTTAAATCATGCTATGTGCATACCTGTAGTATGTACACACAAAATCGAGTATGAAACAGCTGCATAACCGACGAGCTCGGTAAACACAGGAAGACACAGCCACATTGGGAGCTTAGTCGGCTAGTAGTGTCACGAACCGTGACGTTCACCGACGACTCGGAACCACCAACTTCTCTCATTTTACGGCCGAAGGCTTGACGGTCTGCTTCATCATGGCTGTTGAACCATTATTTGGGACGAGAGCCCAAAAGGCTTTCATTATCACAAGTACGTTTATATCCCAATATTGTGTGACCTTGTCATTCAAGAACCTTTGCCACAGTTGCACTCCGTTAGTCGTTTATTTGAAGTTTCTCGATCGAGATTTGACCTAGGTGCTCATAGAGGCCATTGTGGTAGTAGCTATGGTTGGATTAACATTCGGAATAGTGAGTGTAGCTCCGCAGTCGAATCGATACGTCTGCTAACTAGCGGACGTCAAGGTTCAAGTCAATGCAGGGACGGCGTTTACAAACCTTGGGTACAAGGTACTTTTCTACGCACATCATTAACAAGCTGAATCGCTCATATCATGAAGACATTGCCATGCTACTTAGCTCTTTTTATTCTAGCAGAGTATGTAGTTGCATTCACGATCACTCCCAAGCTGTTGACAATAGTGCAGGATATTCGAATTAATAATGGCACTTGATGCTCTACGATCACGGAACATCATCCAGCTCATGGGGATTGTTCGTAAGTGTCGACTTCTCTGAAAATGCCTCCTTTCTGACCACTTCGTAGTTTTTCATGGAGCTCTCATCGTCTTTTCTGCTCTTCAAGTTCATGAAACCCGTGTCGCTATATTTAATTGCACACCTCCTTGCGCTGTAGATCCAAATCCACTATGGAATAAGGTCGAACGGTTCCTAATCGTGGCTCCCTGCATAATTGCTGCGTCATGGTTCTTTTTGATGTTCTGGATCAAGCAGCTGTATGATGAGTTCGGGTACGATCACACAGCTTATCGTGTATGCTGCCCATTACTGAAATATTGCAGATGGGTTATCTTCCATGTTGTTGGGGCAAACCCGAAATTCAAGTGTGAGCTATGTATTCATTTTTGATGATATGGTGCTGACTCGAAATAGCGATGTATCAATTCTATCAAATCTTCATCTGCTTACTTAAATTCGACTTCTTCTGTTTCGTGGGGGTGACTATGCAGGTGAACATCGTGGCTCTTGAAAATTGTCCAGGGACTGAAAATTCACAGCTTCTCATCGTTGTTCTCAGCAAAAATTCTGCTGAATTTGGTATCACGATCGTCGCTATTCCTGTCGTTTTGTTTCTTTTGGCCGGTTGCGCACGTGCTGTCAAGTATGAAGTCAAATGGTATGATGGTTCCAGCGTCCACTTCGCGTGATTATCTGAATTATCTGCTAGGTTGATGACTACGGCCCTTGCATTGATGGTGGCTGCGATGTCTTATTGTGAGGTGTTTCATTTTAATGCATTGACCGGCAACTGATAGGATGATCTAGTCTGTATGTGTATAACATGTGTTAATCATCTCGCGAGTTGACACATTCTTTAGTGTACAAACTGGTTCGCTTTTATGAGCCTTCCTCTGAGGAACAGTACATTTCAACTCGCGCCACATTAACCGTCTTCAGTAAGTCACATACAGCGTAATCTGTTTCACCATGACGCTAAACCATATCTGGCGGCTATCCTTAGCCGTCGTCGCCTTCTTGCTCCTCTTAGCCTCGTTCGCGATCGGAATCAAGTGTTTCCGTGACTTTGACAAGGGACTATCCGAATCTAAGACGCATGGTCAGTCTTATGCACCTGTCAAGATGCAGGTCATCAATGCATTTGGAATGGGTGATTAACTTTTTTTAAATTAGAACTCGGCAGGAACTCACAGTGCTTACCCACCGCCCAAATCTCAGAGCGCCAGTCATCATATTCCCCAGGTGGCGTTCCTCTTCAGCAACAGATATCCATTGAGTGATACATGTCTCTTTCTTATTCTGAACTTCACAAAGACTTGGAGACTACAATCAAGACGATATGGACAGGGTGTGCTCTGCATATGTAAAGATCTGTTCTTCAGCTGATGGAAGTGGAGAGGATCCCTTTTGTTTTATTTAGCGTTATGGACTACAGCTTACATAATCCATGTTACAGTTATATATGGAAAGCCAGATACCCTCAGATACCCCAAAAGTCATGGCAAGGGAAGCCTGCGGCTCGGGTCTTTCTTTGGAAGTTTGAAACAAAGTCCAACGTCATGTGTACGAGAAACGGTCGGGCGAGCGGAATTTGAAAACCAATCGACCCATTCAATTTCTTTATCTACAACGTGAAGGACAGCGTTTGATCCCGCGGAACCAATTCGTGTTGTCACTCTGTGCACATTCCACTTTGGCTCAGGCATGTCTTAAAGCTTAAGCTTTAGCTCTTGTGTATTCTGAAACTTTCGCATGGCGGTTTCAGCTTATTGAGCGTCGGAACTGTTATCATTCGCATTTTGATTGTCATAGCGTTATCTTGCTCTTTTCATGGTATTATTTGTATCCCCTACGCTCTTGACAAAAAGCGGTTCTCGAAAATGGATGGATTTGTGCCTCTCCTTTTGGGGACAGAAGATAGCGGCAGTGGTCTTCCTGCATCCGTTTTCACTTTTGGTGGTAGGACTGCGCCGCCCAATGATGGAATTTATTTCATCAACGCTCACTTGATTACTTCAACTACAAGTGATGAGACTATAATCTAACCATGGCCATCAGTGGACCGGTGAGTTCTTGCGGGCGATTATGCTGATTGCGGTCACCCATCCGAATACACCTTCGCTTCGCCTAGACCTGGAAGCGAACACGATATGCGCAGTGCAACAAAATATGTCAGCAGAGAAGGGGTTAGTACGAAATGTGCGCGTGCGCATCACTGCTCTGCGCCGACGGTTCATCAAAGTGCAAATTCCACAGACATGCGAAGTTCGTTATCTGCCTCACATCACTTTCGCCTTTGATCCCGCGCGTTCGAATTGGATGGCCAACCGTAAATGATTTCCATTAAGAACCATACAAGACGAATGTCTTAGTCTATCATCATAGGGCTACTTCAAGGTGCCTCTGGCCTGAGGCCTCAAACTCAAAGTTGTTTCATTCTACATAGGTAAAGTTCTGACTCACAAAGAAGTATAAATGTCCATCACCGTGCAGAACAAAGTTTGTCTTGTTATCAGCACATCGGATTGTGCAGTTCGTCAGTTGGACATACATTACAAGGTACTCCATTTCCTATGTTCATAGCAGTTCATCATTGACAAAAGCTCTCAGCATGGTCAGCCTCAGTAGGCTACTTGTATCCCAGGAGAGAGTTTCATTGTCGGTGTCGACTTTTTCAACATTTTTCTTGCCGGCCTTTGTTTCGTACTTTGCAATGGCCGTGCTGGTTCAACGAAAACGCACTGCAATGATCCGCTTGGCGCTTCTTCCAGTTACATTACTATGTGCATATCAAGCTGGCTCGTCGCTCGATCTTTCTTTCGGCATTCCCGATTACCTTTTCCTCAATCAAATCTTAGTTGTGAGTGCACTGTACAAGTTGTCCATCATGAAGAGCCTGTCTCATTCAAGTGTTACAATTCAGGCCGCTGTATTCACCTTTTCGATGCGATCGACCGGTTGGGCTTTCGCAAAAAAACCATATAGTCGAATCGCTTTACAACCGAACAAACCGTTCAACGGTGATACCATCTCAGACAGCACGAACAACCAGTTGACCAATGTCGAGGATACCCCACTATTTACCGCATTCTGGAATGCATGGGATCTATCAGTTAATCTTCGCGGGATTGGGTGGGATTGGCCAAAAGGCCTACGCATTCCAAAGAGCAGTTGTGGAACAGAGTCAACATCAAAGTTCCTGCTCACCACTCTCGCGAAGCTATTGTTCAACACGCTTGCATTTGATGCCGCCTCTAGAGCCGCTCACTATCTTTCTCCGGAAACATTCGGATCAACTGAAGGGGGCACAATATTTGACGCGTCATTACCGCCCCTCAGTCGCTATACCCGGTCTACCATCATTACGATCCTCTCTGGTTGGGCAGCAAATTTTGTGATTGAATCGCTGTATCACATGTACACCATTGTGTTTGTCTTGTTATTCAGACAAGCACCGTCTCAATGGCCGCCCTTGTTTGATACCCCATGGCTTTCGACATCACTGACCAGTTTTTGGGGTCGCAAGTGGCATCAATTGCTCCGGGAGTACTTTATATCAGTCGGTGCCCAACCATTGGCATACCTATTTGGTCGCCCTGGAGGGGTGATGGGCGCATTCCTCGTCTCAGGCGCTCTGCACTATCTTGTATTGAAGGCAATGGAACGGGGTGGTCACCCTGTTGTGGTGTTTGGGTTCTTCATCATGCAAGCCGTCGGTCTAATTCTTGAAGGCATATGGAAGAAACGTACGGGCTCACGTGTCGATGGATTTTGGGGCTTGTTGTGGACTTGGCTGTGGCTAGCCTTTTGGGGTACCTTCATGATTGATGCATGGGCGAGAGTTGGTTTGATCGGGTCCAAGTTCTTTCCTGACGATTACAGACCGACAGTCTTGCTTGTCCACTTTTTGAAACATGGTTTTAATTTGTTTAGATTCCGAGAGATCATTATGTAGCTCGGCGACGTTGATGTACTGTGATCGTTCCTTTTTCCCCTAACTATGCATACTCCTTTTTTTGATCCTCGGTTGACCATTACCTACTTGTATGTACTTGTACCGTTATACGTAACGTTTGTGTCATTCTTGAGCAATATTGGTTCTGGAGCGAGGAGCTTTCTTGAGGCAATGAGTGGTGTGGTGAATGAACGGAAGGCTGCCGTTGCACGGATGGGCAGAAAATGTCCGAAGATGAACAGGTGCTTGTATTCAACTAAACAGAACGAATCCGGCGGTATCTCGTGCTTAGATATTGTATATTATCAAGTATGACACCAATCAGAATTGAAGGGAAATTGGAACTCCAAACACCGAATTCACGCGCCACGTTCAAAGTCCTATCAAAGAAAGCAATGGAAACTATTTCATCTTCTTCAGTTCTTCGATGACGGCGGGGGCTTTCGGGCGTAGCCTTGGATCATGATGCCAACATCTCTTGTGATGGGTTCTCCCAATCCGTGCGGCAAGGGTCTCTTTCGTTCCCTCAGATTATATTCTCTCCGTGATATGGGATGCCTCCGGTATAGATCTAAAGTGAGGTGAAGGCAGGGAGTAATGAGTCTGATGACTTGAACAGGACAAAACCACTTGCCTTATATAGCACACAACTTGAAGCAAATGCATATACATGCCGACTTCCATGCGCATAGTTTCCGAATTTCCAAAGAAAATAAGCTCTGGGGCAATCCAATTAGGCGTTTCTCGGCGGCCGACATTGGTAGAATCCAAACCTTGACGTGTATCATCAGATCCCGAGATTCCGAAGTCGGTCAGGCAAGCGTTCCCTCGTCTGTCGACCATGATATTACACTATATGGAATAAACCTGCGAACCTTTCTGACATGAAAAACACTCACTCCCTTGAGATCACCATGAACGATAGGCGGATCGAAAGTATGCAGGTAGCAAAGACCTTTTGCAGCTCCTTCTGCCTGGATAGAGAATCTCTAATCAATCGGTGTTGCTGATAACGAATGATATAACGTACCAGATGCCGAAGATCGCAGTTCTCCCTGCCCGTATTTACGTTACCACTGTACATGCATTCCGAAACAAGCCACAACCTATAGTCTTTGTCTATGACTCCCATAAATGGCACGATATTCTCGTGTTTCAAGTGACTCCAAATCACTGCCTCGCTCACAAAGTCCTAAACATGCGGACAGGTGAGTAGGATGTAGATCGACGGATGGTAAACTGCTCACTTTGTGCGCTATGGATGGCAGGTGCGATCGCTTGATAGCAACAGCTTGATGGTTATAAGACGCTGTAAAGATAGTTGCAGATCCACCCTGCTCAACAACCGGAGTTGGCTCTAGTCCGTCCAACCGCAGCTGACATGGCAAACGGTCAGATTTTCGCGATAGTCGAATGATATATCTCAAAAGCCGCGCGTGTGTAGCATGGTCGGTTGAAGGATCTCGCAAGATCGTTTCTCCACTCTATGATTTTCTGTTTCAGTTCCTTCAGAAGCCTAGAGCGTGTTGATTGTATGAATCAAACATCACTGGTTACCCTACCCTATATTGTTTGTGCAGCGTCTCAGGTGTGCGTAAGTGTATACCATCAGATTCTGAAACACAATGATGGGCTTCTTCAGGGTTTGCACGAAAGAATGGAAGCACTTGGTAGACTTTGACATCTTTGACGTATTCGCGACATATTCACCTGTCTTCTTCCATTCTAAGCTCGTGGATTTCTCGATTTTCCGAAGAAGTTTGTTACGCGATCGCTCAAGTTCTCGTCGCCATGGGTCCGAGTCTGATGCAGATGGGTCACTTATAAAGCTCGGTACGATGAGGGGTGAAATGAAAGACGGCTGAATGCGAAACCGGCTGCAGAAGACGTCATTAGGGCATATAGCGATTGAGTCATCATGTACACTGACTTGGGGATAATGGTTCTGCAACTGTGACGCATCAGTATCGTGCGGGTATGGTTGATGAGATGGATGTGCATGAGGATTGAGGCTAGGTGTTATCGTCCTGTTTAAGCATCGGGTTTCATGAACTTTCGTCAGCTCCTGTGGAACACGAGTCCTGCCAGTGCACCAATGACATTCGACCTTCATAGCGGCCTTGATAGTACGATAGGGGCGTGGAATGGAAGTAAAAATTGGCAGGCAATTTATGAGTTGGGCCTTGTATGTATGCACTATCATGAATTAGGGACAAGCATTGGGCTTATACTGTCCCTACTTCATTACAAGGGACCCTGGCGGCCTTGTCGATGATCATGGGTTCTTTGAGTTTCTTGAAACCAAACGAGTTTCCCAACTCAGTTGTGCATTGTACAATGCATGGTCGTCGCAGTGATCTGCGCGATAAGGCCAATGCACCAGCGTGCGATCAATCAAGCGAGTGTTGGTTGCGGAAACCGCGTCACGGACACAATGTTGACGTGTTTGACGCCTTTGGGCTAGCGATCTTGTTTTTGATGGCTAAGCACCCAAAAGAAAACAAAAACCATGAGAATCAACACACACTAGTACTGGCGACAGAGAGATCTACTCACATTTTAATCCAAGAACAAGAAGTGGGCGCTGTTCTCTACATAACCATGGAAGCTTGTTCAACGATCGATACTACAAATTGAAATAGAGATCAACTTTAAGTGGGAGATCCGACCTACATGAAGATCATATTACTGATCAGTTTTCGATGCGGGTAGGTAGTCCGAGTCGTCGAAGCGAGTAGTTAGAAGGTCAGGTAGAACTTATATTCATGATTGTTCTATCATATTGCCGTACGTGAACATGTACGGCAGACTGTGCTCGTTCCCAATGTCCCGTGCAGAGTAATAGTGCCACAAGTAGCACAAAAAGTACCCAGTCGAACAATCCTAGAGCACCATGCTCAATATCCTCGACAAGAAACGGCAGTAGCCCATGATAACAAACACCAAATCCATTCGCGCATTTGGAAACTACGATTCTTCCACACAGGCGATGTATGAGGACAGGCTCTGCGGACATTATACATCATCTGGGATTTGGAGGATAGTATTGTGTTGGCCACTGGTGCGCACTGTGGGTTAGTGATGGTATCACCAGACGGGAGATCTCATGATGTCAGCGGAGCGCAGCACGAAAACGCTGGAAAATCTCTCAAGCAAAGCATCAGAGCTCTCCGTAGAAGCGTCATCTCAATGGACATTTCTCCGGATAGCCCAGTGCTTGCAACTAGCTCAACGTTGCAACGGCTAGACATACCAACGAAGCTGTAGAGCACAAAGACATGTCAACTGGGAGGCATTCCAATGCAGGAGGCATGTTTTCGTACTCCACAGGATAGAAGGTATGACTGTCTTGGCTGTGGTCAATAGATGGAGGACGGAGAGCAAAATGGAGAGCTTGAAGAGATGGCACTGATAACAACTTGAAGTGCGTGGGAGTATTAGCAATCATAACGACATCACAGCTTAGTGCCTTTGCCACCTGTGAAAGCAGTTGCAAGGCTGGAATAAAATTCCTCATCTCTTTACTTGTGGCATCCGCATCTCAAGACAGTCTCTGAAGGCTCTTAGATTGACGAATAGTCACAGCTACATCATATTTTGTGCTACTAGTAGAACTAGATGACCGTTGATGGTAGTACTCCTGGCTGTTTTGCGTACCGCGGCAGGTTACTAGTACGTCTTATCGCATTCCACAGAGGCCAGGCGAGGGCATCGCGAAGAGCAGGAGACTCACATACGAAATTCATGCAGACAGGCTTCGGACAAGCTCACTGAGATCTGTTTATTGAGGTGGAGGGCGTGTATGATAATACAGATGATCCCGCAAATAGCATGGAAGGCACTGTATGAGTGGGTAATGAATATTAATAATGTCCATTGCAAGATGATTGCTCGGGGGAAAGTTGAAACCATTCACTTTCAAAATGCCCCGATAGATCAGCAGTGACGTCTCGCGATCTATGATCGTTTTGTCCTCGAGAACTCCATCAGGAGCATCATGACAAGGCAGGAGATTGAGCATTTTCAGATCTCGGGCCATTGTTGTCACATGCTGAATATGATAACAAAGAGATGCTTCTGAAAGTCCTGTGATCACTGTCGAAGTCATAGCCCCCTGGCATTGAGTCGACACCGCTATTGCCAACGATTCATGATCGTCACAAGCCACGGCGAAAGACATGGCGTGATTAGTCCTCCCGCCTGTATATGAGCCCTGCTGCACTGCATCACACTGTACGCCGACTCCTGGAAAACGCCAGTGCAAGATCTCGTGGTGCTGTACTGAGTCAGAAAGGTTCTTCCATGTATGTGAAAGTGGTACATGGCGGTTCTCCGAACAGACCCGAACAGTGCTCTAGGAACATCTGAACATATGCTATGTCCAAAAGATTAAAGACTGGCGAGAGCGCCGGTGCAAGGTGCTCCAGCCTCCAGGGCGTGACGGCGGTCTATAAGCATCTGAACCTGTTCTGAGCACAAAAGTTAAAGGTTGGAGCACAGTAGAGCAGAGACAGAAAGTGTCGTCAAGTGTTTTCGGTTATTCAGAATTTCCACTTCTGAGCGATTACCTTCAAGTTGAAGTCGGGATCAGATGCCATGATGATCTGCAATTCGTAGAGGCATTCGAGCGCAAGAGTATCAATGTCATTCGAGTCATTCTTGTAGACAGGAAAGGACAAAGACAAGATGTAAGATTATTGCAATGTAGAAGGTGTGGAAGAGCGTCAGAAACATATCTTGTTCCCGATATTGAAATGCACTGCTTTTGAGAGATTATACTGGTGAATAGATAAAACAAACACGTTGTAGACATCCATACTGGATAATCAAGTAGCGTTGGGGTTCATCCCCAAGATGTGTCGAAGGGCTTTATCAAACATCCCAAGGTACAGACTCGGAGGCGTCACTTGGCAGGACATATTGATGTCCATAATAATTCGCCAAATTGCGCATTGCCCCTGCGATACTAGCCATAGGAACCCTGCTTTGGTATCAAAAAGATGATGGAGGTGCAGCAAAAATTTGGAAGTACAGTTGAAATGCTCATAATGCATACCGTTGGGACCGCCAAAATGTTATGCATTATGAGACATATGCAATAGCATATGTGTCACACTATTGTGACGCATGTGACCTCCGCCAAAAGTGTGACAGAAAAACGTCCATAGTCCTACAGAAGTACATGTATTATACCGAGAAGAATTGTTCTAAAGAAGTTTGTCTAGCATTAAGTAGTTCTTCGCGTCGTAGGTTCGCGCGAAACTTTCGAAGTTGTGATGATAAATCAAGTGAAAATTGAGGATCACCATATTGCATGCATCCAACTTCAAGCTGCTGGCACAAATCGAGAATATTTTGACGAGTGATTGATGGATCCGCTTCATCGTCGTCATCGTCATCAGAATCAACCTTGATAACTTCACCATTTGCAACGGCAATTTCGTGGCGGACCGTGTCTGCAATGGATGAGTCACCACCTTCAAAAGCAGAGAATTCTCCCTTATCTCTCTCCTCGGCGGGGTCCAGAAGTTCATCAATAGTTGGCAAGGTACCGAAAATGCGATTGCGTGCTTGGAGTTCTCGGACTGATTGCATAAGCGCAGCTTCGGTAGAAGATAGCTGGGCAGCTTGTTGTGAGCGCACAGGAATACAAATTTTGAGGCCGGTACGACGAGATGCAGCTTGCATAAGTGCATCAATGGCATTTAAAGCCATCTCCACATCTCCTTCAGCATCCATTACAGCTTTGAGGGCCGGTCTCCAATCAGAATCTATGTAGCACTCGCCAAGAAGAGCCTGTAGCTTGTTCTCCGCATTGGGAAGGGACATTTCGGTAGTTGCGAATTTGTGGACGATGTTCCACGCAAGTGGATCCGTGTGAGGCCGTGTGTCAGTGTTAGTCGTTGGATCACTGTGATAGACTTGAGCACCCAAAAAAATGAGGTCAAAAGATGACTTACACTTGAATGTCAGTGTGATCCCAACAATGTTTGATGGTTTCGGACGTGACAGCATACCATGCTTGCTTCGCCATTGTCATGCCTTCGAGAATATTAATTTTATAAATATCCCGTTCGCCAGCTTCGTCAAGATCAATAGCACGCACGCAAAAATTACGGCGATATAGTGCCTTGAAGCATCGGATGATTCCAGCATCGCATGGTTGGACAAATGGTGTCATGTTGGGCCCAAAAAATTCAAGATCAATGTTTGATGGTTGATACGAGCATCAGAGAACCTGTGAACAGATGAGAAAGATATCTAAAGTAATATATAGTAGAGCATTGCAACAATCTTCGTATATCTGCTGACTACTTTTACATGGGAATATTTGATCTTATCGAGGAAAGACGAATGTACAAACACGCCAGCCTAATGACATTATTTGTTTCAGAAGCTTTTAGGTTTGGATGGACGTAAGGAAAAAAGAGCGGGTACAGGTTCATGAACTTCAGTACAGACTGGTACTGAGAGTGTCAAGGGAGGAGGTTGCCATGTGCTAAAGTGAAATAAACTTTGGCGACGTCCCCAGGAATACAGACACATATTATTCGCCCTTCACTGATCATTTTTTGGTTGCTCAGGGTGATGATGATGTGGATGTAGCTCACTCGAGGGTAAGAGATATGAGTCTGTGTTGCAACCAGACCGTAACAACAGAATCGTACGTGTTGTGCGAGTATTAGTCGACCGTCACTCAAAGAGATATGTTTTACGCAGCACGAAAAGCATACAAGTTTGATTAAGTTCAAAGAGTTCACGGTCGCGACAATATTTATTAATGATTTAAAACTGGGTGTGGCGCTGTAAGCATACATAGTGGTAGTGCTACATTGTAATCTTACGCAATCATTGCCATCTTCACAATTTGAACTGTTCTGCCCTTTCTAGCCCGGAAGATATGAAGATCTCGTCGACTCCTCAACCACCTCACGGGTACCTCAAAGCAAGCGACCGCAAATGTATAACTTGCTTCAAATCTTTGCCCGGCCTTCTGTCATATTCCGCAACTCGACGATCGTATTTACCTGCGAAACGCGCCAAAGAGGTCGGAGCATTGTGCAGACATGGTACCTCTATGACTCAATACCTGGGCTCGCGAGTTGACAACAGTGAGTCATGCTTCGCATCACTGTTTCCCTTATCTTTCAACAAGCATCTCATGCATTTCGCCCTGTTCATTTGCTTCGTGGCCTTTTTTCGAAACTCGGTGTGTGTACGTAGTGATAGTGCTAAATTGTAATCTCACGCAATAATTGACATCTTCACCATTGGAACTCTTCTGGCATTTCTGGCCCGAAGCATTTGAAAATCTTGCGCACCACTCCACTACCTCACGGGCGCCTTAAAGCAGACGACCGCTGATATATGATTTGCTTCTAATTTCCACTTGACCTTCCGTCGTGCCCCACAACTCGACGATCATATTTACTTGCGAAATGTCGCAAAGAGGTCGGAGCGTCGTGCAGACAACGTGCCTTTACGATGCAGTATCTGAGCTCGAGAGTTCATATCAGTGAGTCATGCTTCACATTGGCGTGTCTCTTATCTTTCAACGAGCATCTTATGTATTTCGCCCTGTCCCAGTTTCATCGCTCCGTCGGCGACAGACGTAAACCTCCCAGGGCTTGAGAATAAGGAAAGTCGTCGTTGTGTAACCTGGCATCTCAGCTCGAGATTACGTACCGGTGTGCTATCGAGAACGCTTCGTTGGATGGATCATCAGCATTCTAAATTAACAGTCCAGCAAGCCGCAAAGTTATTTAGACTTTAGGGAGTCATTTTCAGATTTCAGGGTATTGGCCTCGTCATAAATAAAACCCGATGCTGTTGGGACGAATAACTTTATCCCACACACAAATGAGGAGACATTAACATCATAATGACATTAGCAAGCGAAAGTATGATGTAGGACTGAAATAATGCAGCGGTGTAAAGACGATATAGTGAAAGTAGTGTGTAGAGTAGGACAAGCAAGCAACGATGTCAAGTAACTAGTCAGAATCGAATGCGGTGTCCTCCATCTGCTGTCTCTGAGCAGCGAGACTATTGACAGACATGTGAATAATGACATCCGGCATCAGATCCTGACGATGGTTTCTTCCAAAAACTTTTCTACACAGAGAGTTAGCGACCGACGAAACACTCATGAGGTCGATGACCTACCTAGTCCACCATTCAAGAAGCTTGTTCACCCTCGCTAGCGCAGCTGGACCTGGGGGATCCTCAAAGAAGTCTACAATGTTGTTCCAAAAAATTTGATAGTCGAAGTCAGCATCTACAGTGCGCCAAGAGGTGATGTTAGAAAGCGCGAATCGTATCTGGAGAATTTAATTTAACTTCATGATAAGAGGAAAGTATTGAGGCTTACTTGGCAAGCTGCATACGCGATCGCGCGAGGAGTTACCTTCCTCATACCTATGATAGAGGCAACACATGTCTTCACTCTGGCATGATCTGATCGTCTCCGGGCGCGTTGATTGTTCTCGATTATATCAGCGCCATCGCCATCGCCATCCACCTCGTTGGCAGAGGATGGAGAAGTGAAGATGGCTTTAAAGCCCTGTAATGCGATGAGCTATAAATCAGTTGAAAAAAAACAGGGTGCTCACTCACCATGACCAACAGCCTGGACTTAAAAAGACCGTGCTCTAGATTTTTGGCGTCAGCTTCATAATTTTCATACATGAACGACGGCCACGAGTTTTCAGAAACAATGAAAGCGGTCGTACGATCACGAATGCCAGCCTTGACACTGGACAACATATCAACAACATCTGAGTGATGAAGAGTATCACTTACACCGGGTCTTCCCAGCGCCATTCCGCTGGGCAGAGTAGTCTACCGCATGCATCGTTCGCGAAACCTCGATGATGCTTGTCGTCTGTTCTGATGAGCGAAGACGGACGACACTCAATGTTGACCCATAAAGCTACGAGCTCCTTTAGAGTTCCTGTGTCATCACCGCGAGCTGCGTCCGCGCCTCGCTTGAGCTACATTAACACTTAGCAAAGAAGCGTGACAAAGAATATTGGGAATGACCTTTTTTAGCAGGTCCTCTGATTCCTCAAACTCAAGACTTGCTAGCTTCGCATGGAACCACGGCAGCACCTTGGAAAGTTCAATGTAGCCGCGCTGAAGGCGGTCTTGCCTGTTCATTTCAGAAAAAAAACATGACAATATGAACGTGGATAGTTACTCGATCGTGTGCTCGCCGTCTAAGTCTTCACAATGCCGGTCATTCTCTGCAACCAGATCTTCTATTGGAGTATAAAGGGCAGCCATCCTACGAAGTGCTCGTCCCTGCGAAACATAATATGTAGTTTTCCTACCATTAGAAGCATCAAAACCGCCTTGAGAGGCCGAGAACGTGCACACCTTTGTTTTATCATTTTATCCTGCTTCAAGTTTTCGACCTCCTCCATGAGAGCGGCAAATTTTCGCTTCGCCCGAGCTTGAGGCGACGTTGAGACACAAAGCGATACTGCCGGGGGAGGAGGAGGAGTAAGGTTGCCCTCGCAGTTGTTCTCAGCCATCGACATACGCAATGATAAAAATAATTGGGGAAGAAGAGAGGTGCGGAAAGGGTGTGGAAAAGTGAATGAAAGATAAGCTCGTGCGAGGCTACCTTATATACTCGCCGTCTACTAGTACACCGATGACCTGATATGAGGTGAAATGACTGAGTGAATTCGTCTCGAATAGGCAGCGGAATTTTTGCCTTACTTGGTAGTCCAGAGTTCAGTGTTCATCACGTCAATCAGCACACACCAAATTCTGACACTAGTATCTTCGATGACCTAATATAAAGCGAAGACGTTGAATGAATTAGTTTCGAATAAGTAGTGCAACACTTGCCTTACTTGGTAAGTCCAGAAAATGTTCTTCGCGCCCGAGCAAACAGTATCATATCGGTACTACTAGCAGAGGCCCATCGGTGGAAGCTTTAGTACCCCCATAATAACCGTGACACGTTACAGCAGGGATGCAGCCGCGAGCAAGGCATGGTCCGTCGTTCAAAGACCAATTTGATGATCGATCGTTCTCGAAGGTGGACTTGGAGTTGGAAGGTGTTATGCTTCCGTGGTCCTAGAGTATCACGGTCACCGCTGAAATTTGAAAGGTCAACAAAGTTTTGGAAGAGGCAGGTGGTTGCCATATTTGGGCCTGCCGCCAGTCCGACCGTCCTGATGCCCTATGGTTCCCACGACTACCACTCCGAATGAGTTCTCTGTGTGGGCCCTGATGCAAGGCTGTGACTTAGTAGTAGTAACGTTGAACCGTCTGAAAGCCGAGTCTTTGTCCTCGGCATGATGTCAGTGGCACTAGCGAGTCTACACAGACTTATACCAAGACCGGCCATTTCAGGAACGTCCTCGATCCGTGACATTAGTGGCAAACCTCAAAGTTGGGGAAGCGCTGCGAAATCAAGTCTTAGTGCCAACGAGGACTGACGGACTGTCACTGGTGTGGAGAAATTCGAAATATCTGAGTGGTCGTACAGCTGGAGTTAAGTTGGCGTGCCAGTCAGGAGCTTAGCAAGAGTAGACCTACACAAGGCTGGTGATACGAGTCACCGTTGAAGTCTGACCTGAAGTTCTCAAAACGAGAGCTCATCGGCCTCTTCCTCAACTTCCTCTCCGTCATCAAGCCCATCATCAGACTCTCCCTCTTCTTCATCCTCAATTTCATCGTCTTCGTCCTCTGACTCCTCATGGGCAAGATCGACATCCATCCATTGTTCATCGTCATCTATTTCATGGTCCTCACCGTCACCTCTCCCTTCATCAATATCCATAGTCTCTACCGGTGCTGATGACTGAAGGCCAAAACAGTCTCTGACAGCCCGCCGCAAAGCGACCGGGTGTCCTACGCCCAAGTCAGTATAACGCAAAAACATATCACGATCGACAAAACTAGTTATTTCAGATAAGCCATTCGCCCATAAAAAGACACACTACACTCACATCCCGACATAATACACTTCCCAGTCATCAAGTTCCCCCCTAGGACGAGCTAAAGACTTTCCGTAGCGAAGTGAGCTCACACCGCGCCCCGAAGCAAATGCTGGAATCAAGTGAGCTCCCCGGATCACTTGGCCTGGGTCAAGGAACCCGAACGCGTCATGGTCCGACTCCTCCACAAACGCCACCTTAGGAAGGCGAGAGCGGTGCATGCCAGACTGATAAGATATTAATGGCGCGAGCCATCTGACGTGAAGGATATCGAGGTGGTGTTTCTTGGTTCTACCACCTCCTTGGAGCCACGTGTCCACGTGATAAATACCGATTACACGAGTGTACCAGTATGGATGGCTGGGAGTGCTTTCGCCTGAAAATACCATCACATCGGCATGTGTCTTGGGGTTGATAGTGTCGTATTCGCGCCTCATATCGTAAGTGGTGTAATGTACCTGCATCGTTTGGACCAAGTAGAGCGTATTGTTAGGAATGATGACTGTGTTGCGTTCCTCGTCTGTGAATATGTAATCACAATAACTGACGTTCAATTTCTTCAGCCGATACAAAATGTGATCCTTTAGCTTTGGGATGAAGTTCTGAAAGCCATCATCAGTATCAAACTAAACCAGAAAGGCGATATTACTTATACCTTGACAACTGGGTCGCCGTCGTTTTCCTGGAGTATCGTGAACAACGAAACTGGATTGTTTCAGCTGATTGCGATAGAATAATGGCCCTTGCATACCAATGGAGCAGGAGTGTCAGCCGGAGATCCATCACTTGAGGAGATACTCCCCCCTGCTTCCGTGACTCGCCGTAGCACACGACGTCTGCGCTCGTGTTTCGCTAGCTGTTTTGGAGTTTCCAGCTTGCTAGTTAGGGGGTAGAATGCTTTCAAGGCTCTATGCGCCAGCTCTCCCTAGCAAATAACATAGCTTCAGATACATCCCTGAAGGGTAGAAAACAAAGCTTACTATCTGCGTGGTAAAAGAATCCGTAGTCCCAAAAAGCTTGATCGTTCGCACATAATCGCCCATTGCGTGAAACTTATACGTGCTTAAATTGAAACTTTTTACCCTTGGTCCACTTGATTCTGAGGAAGTATTGGTGAGTCCAGCACATTGGGCGAGCCTTTGTTGACGAGCTGCCTTCTCTTTGGGTAACTCCACGGTATCAAAGACAGCGCAGGTAAAGTTGCGGAATCTCCGTAATTGCCTCGAAAGATTCTTGAACGTTTCGTTGAGGAAGCCAAGAGTTGACTCTGAATGAATCCTTAGCTTGGCCAGGGCATGCCACTGTGCGAATTTGTATAAAAGAGACTGCACAACTGCGTCGTGGGGAGCGGGAAACAGCCCTTCGAACACAGGTATTGCGCACTAAATAAAGGGCGTCAGTAAGCTACATAAATAAATTGAACAGTAAAGTAAAGAAGCAAAAACCTGCAAGATATCTTCGAAGTCCCGAGTGGCCAGTCTCTTCATTTCGGACGTGTTATTCGCAAAGATTCGGATTACCCCATTACCGAAAGTTGGAACTTGACGAAATCTGTAATGCGATATAATTTTCCATAGAAACATCAAACAAACACCACGTACCTGGAATCTAGGGTTGCGACTAGCTTCTCTCCCGCTGGCAGTGCATAAAGGATCCTGACAAGGTGAGTGAACAGTGCCTTCCAGGTTCCCAACTCGCACTCATGCATGAAGTCCACAACAAGCATCCGAAATGGGTCAAGGCCGAGCTTACCCAGCTTCTGGACAAATCTGTTCTGCAGGTTGCTCGTCTGAGCCGGTACTAACGAACAGCAGAAAAATCATACGTACTAGTACAGGTACCCACGAGCCTTCTCTGAGTATTTCTTCAACCCTCGTACCGTCCACAGTATTTCCCAACTTATAAATATATTCTCGTGCCTTGATGATGTTGGTCTCGACATAGACCCGAAAATTATTTGTACGGCTCTTCATATCCTTAAGGAGGCCAAGGGAAGCAAACATGCTTTTCGGTGTGAGGCATCGGGGGCAAGGGCACGAGCCCATGTCTTTTATAGTGGCGATTAAGACCCTGAGACATGTTGAGTGATACCCTATTGTTAAGGACAAAACGCACTTCTCTGGATAATCGGCCGAGTATGTGAATATACGAGGAAAAACTCTACGAAACACTCCGTCAGCACATTTTAATACAATACCATGACGGTATGCATGAAGAAACTCTTTATCTAGCAAAATATCCCAGCAGGCGTGGAACAACTCGCGTCGACAGTGAGTGTGAAGGGCAGCTATGCCACTCTTCGATATCCGAGGCAAGTTGCTTAGAACGTCTTTGACCCTATCGGGTAACTAAGGCAAAACATCAAAGTTACATTTGAAGGTACATAAGAAAAACTCACCGACGGTAAAAACCCCACAAGGTGACATGCACCGGACTTCGGTGCAGAGCGAGCGTACTTTGTCAAATTTCCGAAATACATATAGAGGGGCCAGGCCTTTGCCGTTCCAAAATTTGCAAGATGTGTGGCGTCCGAAAACAACATGAGGCCAGCAACCACCCGTTCCAGCATACATCCGGGCTCCCTTGGGAGCTTCTGCACTTCGTCTTGGGCATCCATCCAGGAGTCAGAAGTATATAACTCATTGTAGATACGCTCTTGACGATTGTCCAACGGATCCCTCCATAGACGCTTGAAAGGAGAAAGATGAAATGCACTTGCTTGGATGTCTGTGAAAGCCGACCGAATTACTTCGATTAGGGGGCGAAAATGTAACCCTGAAACGGTAAAAGGTATAGCTTCGTCCTCCCTCAATTTCGTAGGAATCTGGATAGTGACATCGGCCTGCATCCAGTCATCCAGAAATTCGATTTTCTTCCCTCCAGGATCATTGTCCAACTCGCGCAAACTCTTCCTCACCGAGAAGTCCTCTAAATGCTTTGTATCAAAATCCCCTGCTAGTAATACTTCCTTGACGAGACGGGTAGTTTCAGTCTCGGATTTCTGATTGCTACCAGAATTCATCCAAGACATGAGTCGGTAAATCGTCATGTTGGTAAAAGGGTAGGGAGGGGGGAGGATACCAGCCTGCGAGTCACTCTCTTGCGTGACTGTTGGACACGTTGTTGAAAGTAGCGAGGACGGCATGAATTTATCCGGCTCGAAGGACGGGCGACGAGGGTAGAGCCGGCAAAGTCCAAGACAATTAAAACTAGTCTGTAGTGCGTCTCGTAACCTCAGCAGAACTCTCTGAATTCTATATTCGGGCGGGTCTGCATTTCGAGCGGGGGGGGCATCGACAGTATCCGAGTAATTGGCGTCCTCCTCAGAAAGAGGAACATGCTCAAAATGTTTAGGTATTCGCCCCAGCGGGTGCGAAGGTTTTACTGATGTGAAGAACAAGTAAGGTGTCAGTCGACTGAGGCACGAGGAGTCCAAAGACTGGGACTTACACAACGCATCGGTCTGGCTGCAGGATGTGTTGTTGAAGCCATTATCGTGTGCATGGTCAGGCTCCTTCGGCTGCTGCCCTGATAGGAAGTGGTCAAGATCCGTTGCGCTGGGACTCGGAGGTCGTGATATGCTAGCCCGAGTGTTGTACCCGCTTGACGGTTTGCACGGAACAATGGGTTTGGGGCGATTCGGCTTCTCAACGCGCTGGATGGGCGCTATTTGCTATAGGTATGCAACGATTGAGCAACCGTTCATGAGACTAGCTCAAGTTGTAAGAAAGACTGCTCACCGAACTTGAAGAACTCCGAGTAATCATGATGCCAGCTGAACTTCCTGGCGTCGAAGTCCACCTCGGAGCTCTAGCTGCCTGTTTCGCCCTGTCTTGTCTTTGGTGGCTGGCTAGGACTCTAGAGTTGTGGTGAAATTGACATGTGGCACGATGCCTACTAAGCCCTCGAGTATCGGTGGTTGCTTTCTCCCAGGAGCAGCCTGGAGCGTTGCAGGACACTGTGACCATCAGACTAGCCCTCGGATAACAACTTATGAACAGCAAAAATAGAACAAGCCATAGAAATTCTCTGCGCATTCAACGACTCTCGGATCAGCCTGATAACCGCAAACTGAGTTCTCGGAGGGGGTCGGAAAGAGTCAAAGTTGGGACAAGTTACAACCGTATCCGTGACTCATCACCGTCACAAGTGACCGTGATCATTGCATAAGCTGATTTTCTCCTGATAAGTACACACCAAGTTGCCAACTCATAACATACATCATCATGATTGCTCTGCCTGTTACACGCTCAAGAAATATTACTTGAAGTCCTGGTTAATACAGTGTCTGGTAGTCAAACATTGATCTGCTAGTAACCCGAATCCTCTGCCAGCTGAGAAAAATCGTGTTGTACACACTACATATGCACCAAGCTTGAATGGAACGATGGAACATATTGACATTGGTATTAATATTTTAATGCACTATAGAACGCGATCAGTATTCGCACAATATTGCATATCACAAATTGCCTCACCTCAGCCTGAGGTTATAGTACTGACATCGTCTGCCTCTGCGAGTATGCTGTCCACGCATTCCCCCAAGCGATATTCAGCATCTTCCAACTCAATATCCTCTATAGGCAACTTCCGCTCAGAACCAACCTCCTCCACATGACGAAGTTGCACATCCGCGATTTGGTAAGCAGCGAGATCATGGCTATATGCGGCGACGCTGAAGTCTGCATCATCTTCGAGTTGTTCCATGGTTCGCCTGACCAAGGTCCTTTCGAAAAACGACGCTTCTGCGTTGCTGTCAACATACTGTTGAGCACAATCCCTAAGAATAGTTTGAAGCAGTATTGCATGTTTCTCAGCCGACTCGAGCTCCCAAGCTGTTGCAAGAGCCTGCAAACGCTTGCTTTCAGCGTCAGCTCGCTTTGCAATGATAGCGGTGTAGATGCTCGCGTCAGGCATACTCCTCAAGCCGTTTTGGAAGATTTCTTTGCCCTAGCACAATGTTCATCAATATGGCATGCCCTGTGGTATGGACAAGACTAACTTTACCTGATGGACGTCCATCATATTAATATCGGTCTCATTGCGTTTCAGAAGGCTCTTCATCGTAAAACGGTGTTCCAAGGCAGTTAGAGTACGCCCCCCTAGCTGATAGGGCTTGAACTTCAGGCTAGCGCGTCTTGCATAAAATGACATGTGTCTTGATGCGGGGGGAAGGCCATTTGGAAGGGATTGAATTGTAGGAACTGAAGCACGGAAAGTTTCTTCAAAGGATCGCTGATTAGAGTCTATAGGTTCCATTACCCGACTACAACTCTTCGGATTGTGAGGGCGTATAGTGGCATGAGTGTCGTCCTGCACAGATCGCTTGGCGAAGATGTCAGCAGGTGATCCGAACACCGCCACACAGTGATCAACTCCAGCAGGAGATGTGGAAATAACAGGAGAGGAGAGCATGCTGTGGTATGCTTGTCACAGTGAATGTAGGGACCTCTCTGGCTTGACCTCCGAGTTGACTCAAAGGTACCAACTAATATCATTAGTGTGTGAGAGTTTGCGGAGTTTTAACGACTGCCAGTGGGGCTTGAGTTCTCAAGGCACTACTGTCATGTCAGCAATTTTGGTATTGCCTTCGACGAAGTTCACACAGGAGGCTGACATATAAGGTATCAGCAAACATTCCCAGTTCGGTATAACTGCACCGTACTTTCGTATTTCAAATTTCAGATATCATATTGCTGACCTGCATCAAGCCCTCTACCTCAAGAACTTCCCATTGCTTCTCAGTGACAGACTAGTAAATCTAACCCGGATTGAGAAATTATATATACTCTGACATACCTCAGAAATCTGTATATTTACTTACAATAATAATAAACCAACTGTACGTAGTAGTGACAGCGTATGGTGAATCAAATTAGTAGTTACTATAAGTGACGCGCACTATTGGAAAACGTATTTTCCTTCTCGGTGTCATCAGCTCGTGTGGCTTTCTTTTTCCCTTTAGCCTTCCTCCTCGCCTTCGCACGTTCCTCCTTCATGTGAGCTTGACAAACACGAGTACGAAATGTAAATGCGGCGCCCTCCGACATGCCTACCTTCTCCACGTAAAATTTACTACCAAAATGCGCCGCAGTCGGCAGATACAATATGCCGTGCTCCTTTAGCGGATGCACGTATCGGGGGAAGTCCATAGCAGGGTAGCGAGAATGGATAGCAGTAAGAATGTCCTCAATGTCTTGTGGCGGTTCATCATCATCGGTTTCTTCATCACTCTCCATGTAGAGTGCAAATGTCCTTTTGAGTGGTTGAGGGACCATGATAGGGCCATTACTTTGCTGTCCGGAAAGTGCACCGTTGGAAGCCCACATGTCGTCGATAGTAGATGAGAGGTGAACGTGGTTATGGATGACGGGTGACATGAGCTCGGTTGGGACACGTTGAAGCGACGAAGCAGTTCTTGCTTTGCGTGTCTTGCAAATGTTCTCGAAATGGGGCGTGCTGGGTAGATTGATACAGGTATTGTCTGGATCTCGAGTGTCGTACTGCAATTTATCAGATGGACATGTGGTGCATTTAGGGCATATGACCATACACATACCAGATATTTTGCCCACTCCTGGAGGTCTTGGGTGCACATCGGATAGTGTGGAGTATTTAACTGCGACACATCTACCCAACAAAATGTGTCCTGGGAATCTCCAAGCTGATGCTCGTAGCAACACAATTTATTTTTCACGTTCTCGAGTTCCTTCGTATATAGCAGAAGCGATGGGTCAGGTACCATACCTGCCTGTGATTTTATCGGCTTTCCTTTTAGTACAGGCATCTAGGCAAGTTACTGTCGTGTCACCATTTTGCAATTAAAAAAACACTTACAGTATTGACGATTTCAATGACAACTTTCTTCTTTTTCCGTCCAGATGCCTGCTCCGCCCTCACAGCCTTGAAAGCGCTGGCGATATCCTGGGTCGTCAGAAGGCGATGCGGCGGGTCCGTGCGGCGGGCTGTAGACAGGCGCCAGCCCAAGTGTTCATAGGCCTTTGGAAGGTTCATTGTGGCCCTCATAGAGTCGAATATATCTTGAGGATGATCTGACTCGGTGTAAAAATGGTCTACATATGTTGTAGATTTGTTGGTGTCCGTGGTGTCCAAAGGTACACAAAACTCGACTAGTAAGACATGAGTAATAGCAAGCCACCTGACAAGACCAGAAGAATTACCCTTCTCATTGAAAGCCTGGGGCCGCATGGGTCCTGAAACTTCCTGTTCTTCTGTATTACTGGTAGCTTCTGGCGTATCACGAGTGCATAAGTGAATGGCGCGGATGCGGGTGATCTCTTCGTCGTTGATTTCTGGGAGTTCTTTACGGGAGCCAATGAGATAGGCTGCGGTCTGAAGACGAGTGCGTCTGCGAGCCGATGGGATAGAATTGATGATGTTGTTTATATTACGCGAATTGACAATCTCCTGGTTGTGGCTACGGCCATGACTCGGACTATTAACAGGGAACTGAGTGTCTGAGTCGTGCATTATACACCAGTGATACTATGTAGACTCGGACCTACCTTGCTAACCCAGCCTTTATAATTATTCCAGTTGGACTGTCACGGTCATAATGCAACTCAAGCGAATGAGAAGTGCCAGTGATTGCCTAAAAAGACGTAGTCCGCCATGACGATATCAATGCCGTCAATCGCTACCGCAGGTGACTTGAAGGAAAACTCACCGGCAACAAGAAGTTATAGTGCCGGTACTAGTAGTAGTAGTAGGGCCGCCTGTCTCGAAGTTGCTATCCCTCAGAGAACCACTCCGAATATGAGTGCTAGCGCTGTAATGCGCTTAACTTAAGCGTGGATTGGCAGCAGCGGCAGTACCAATTCGGATATGATACGAGAGTCACTAGTGATCATTGTCCGAGTCATGACTCATGAGAGTCCCAGTCCGAGAGTCAATGAAAAATGACACACCAAAGTTCGAGCAAAAAGATACGGTCACGGTAGTCCGCCATGGCTGCCGATGAGCACCGATTGTCGCTGAGCGCTGAGCCACCAGCAGTATCATATTGATCAATATTTACGGTGTGTGCTTAAGTTCACCGACAGATTGGGTTTGCCAGAACGTTTTTTGATCTTCCGCTTTGGGAAGTTTTTGGCATTCCAAATAAGGTAAACTAAGTCGCTCCATTTTTGTACTAAGTTCTTAATCGAAAGTGGAGTCGTAAGTTTGTAGATCTTTAGATTCGGAGTCAGGTTCCTTCCTACCAGTGCGCATCCATCTAAGTACCTAAGTGCCAACTTGAAAGCTCGCAAAGCAAATGGTGCTAGTATGCTTGCAAAATTTCCTCGACAATGTCAAATATTCCTACGTGAAAGCGGTCAGCAGATTTACGAAGGTTCTACAATATCATATTGCTTTAAATACCATTCTTATTTTCTGACGAGTACTCAGATTGTACTACCCAAATCTGAGTAGTCTCGTCCCGATTCTGCCTAAACTCTTCAGCCAATTCAAATTTCTGCACATAGCCCAAACTTACATAAACTCTATCGATTATCGCGAAAAGCTTATGGAGCAGAAATTGTGAAGTATTTGCGAAATTGCCGCAGCCTGGAAAGGACGGACTGATCTGAAAGTGGATAAAACGAAATCGTGACTTCCTAAAAAAAGCTCGAGACACAGTACCACGTATGTAAACTGATATGCATGTATGTAAACGTAAACCGATATGCATGTATGTAAACTGATTGGAAGGGGGTATTGGGTTCCGTCCGGTGTTACAACGCGCTGTTGTTAGCGAGAAGGACTGATGTAAGCGCGATTAGTTGTGATGGACTCAGAGCGTCCAATAACGACTCATAACGTTCGTGGTGAACGCGGTTCGCCTCCGGCAAAAATATACTTGCAATACATCTCCCTGTGCTGCGTTCTTGCAGTGCCCACCGACAGAAAGTCGCAATCATGGCGAGTAACGGCTTGATACCGAGATCCTTAATGTACCGATGATACTTGTGGTCGCTGTCGCGCAAGAGGTACGACGTCATCGATAGGATGGCAGGGTTTGCGAAAGCGACCTCGATGTCGACTCCCTCAACCTATAACAACGTGAGGGGTATAAGTCGATCATGAGTCAAGGGCCCAATTCATAGTAGTCCTACGACACGTACGGATAATCGGCCGTACAAAAACGTGTCGTTCTGCACCAAACGTTGGACACGCGTCGCGCGCTCAACGATATGCGAGTCGTCCAGCGTTATAGTGTAGTCAAACGCGAGGCCATACTCGTGATATACAAACAATTTCACCACTGTCTTCATCCTGTCAAGTATCCCCACGAGCACGGGCTCTAGCTTCGAGGTCCTAAATTTCTCGTCGTTGTTGAGCTTATCCAATGCCCAGTGGCGAACCGCACCTGCTCCCAATCAGTTTCAATGCGAGTAAATATTTATCAGATAACTTACCATCAACCTCTCGATAGGTCAGGGTACGCCATGAAGATTCCATCATTTCCCTCGTAGATTCAGGTGAGAGCAACAACGATTTGCCGAAGGCAGTTATTTTTATAGTTTCTTTGCACAGTTCCACAAAATCTTGAGAGCCGAATGGGATGACCCTCAGGTCGATAAACGACGCAACTGAACTTTTGGTCGTGAGTTTGGTGCTTCGGCGGGAAGAGCGAGTTGACCTGATGGATCCCCCGGGGGGTCGTCCTTGACGGCGAGGGGAAAGGACGTTCGAGTGACGGACAACGTCGTCAAAAACATCATAGGATGTTGAATGGGTGAGGTTGGGCACGGACGACGTTGACCCCGAGTCATCCAAAGAGGACTCTGGGTTCAATGTCGCATGACTCGCCGGCGCATTTGCGGATGGGATGGAGGGATGCTGGGTCTGCCACGCGTCGATGTAGCTCGGTAGACCCAGATCCAAGAAATGACGGGGTCTTGGATGGACAAGGTCCTGCAGCAAGTGCCCAGAGGGTTGCGGATAGTGAGTGGTGTGTACTTGACCACCTTCCAAGTACTGCTGCGGGGTCCATGATGATTGATCGTGAAGACTTGCTACCTGACCTGAAGGACCTCCTAGCAGTACGGTCGCATCGTCATGATAGCGAACCTGAGACTGCAACGAGGTCCATGACGACTCATGTTGAGAAAGATGACCGTGGCTGGTACGATGGTCGGATTGAAGTGGGTAGTGGAAAGGGAAGTTGATTAAATTAGGATCGGGAGGGGCGTATTCAGTCGCGTATTGCTCATTGCCTTGCGATTGAGGCTGATCACCCCAACCTGCTGACATCGTTGGTTGGTAGCGAATAACAGTGGAAATGTAATATAAGTTACCCACCTGTCAATTTAAGTAAACTTTGCGGCACTGGGCTCGAGGACGCACACGTGAAGGCTGAATTGAATTGACCGCAAAGTATACATAATGTTTATGATTTGTAAATAGTAAGTGGATTCTTAGCAGACGTTATTACATACATAACATAGCTTAAAATAATAAGTAAAAACTGTGAATATATTTTAGATATCGACTTACTAAGCTTTACAGCTATTTACTTTTTTTTGGAAAATACCGCCGGCTTCTACCATTATGCAGCCGCTCACTATAAGTCTATAAGGCGCTGGAGACTTTTGCTCTCAGCCGCTCAGGTACAGTTGCCGAACTCCGCGGAGCCTCAGATCTGTGAACCGAAGTTCATCTCTCCTCCACCACTGATTCAGAATATATGCGGTATGTTTTTCTTCCCTTGCACACGCTTCCCCTTCAATATGATCATCCAGACCTTACAGCGCAGACAGCAGAACGCGTGGGTAGATGTGTACGTTCGCTTGATGAGGAAATGAGACGTGCTGGGGAGGTTGCTGGGCGGGTTGGACAAGTCATGGAACTGAAAGTATGTTCTCAAATGTCGTCCGTCCACCTTTATATTCAGTCGATGCTGTTATGCAGTCCTCTCTCGCTCGACTGCAGTCTTACATTGAAAATAAAGACTGGGAGTCGGCGGCCAGATGTTGGGGCGCGCCATGTCCTTGTCCTTTACAATCATTTCAGGGCCCTTGTTGCAGAGTCTTTATTGTGAGTGACCATTCGAAACATTCCAGATTCTTCTCATCACTCTGAGCAGCCTACAGCTGAGAGTCACTAACATCCAGCGCAGACCCTCCAGGCTGCACGAGAACAAACTTATTCAAGAGTCGCTTCGAACAAGCATCTCGCTCGCTCGATGCTGCAGCCACGACTCGTTATTTCAAACTATTGGTTAGGAGGCATATGCATCGTTCGTGGTCGATCTTGTGCGAATGAGAGCTCCAAGGTCAGCCACAAGTACGTTATGTCAGGCTTGGACGATAGCCACATTTTTACATCTCACTTAGTCTCCTCGCCTCTGTATTTTGTAACTGCCCTTACAGCAGCGGCGTTGCTTAAAAGTGTTGCTATGATAGTCACTCTCCTCTTGACTCTCCCGTCTTCGCTCCTCATTAATATTGGGGTACTTTGCAATATTGATTGAGTAAACTTCATCGACAACGTACACGACGCCGCATGTCTACATTTCACCGTCAGAACTTTGGCCAACTTCTAGGCTTTGAAGGGTATGTTCATCCTATCCATCGACTGCCGCAGTCACTCACAGGCAACGCTATCCAGTTACCTCAACATCAACCCGTCTCAATCAATATCCTGACCGCTACAAATTCTCCTGTGGGGATTTGAGCAATATGCTGATTTTTCCGTAAGTGCTAGTTACTTCTGTTTGCCTCGTGCATGTATTCGACTCAATTAAGCTCATTTCCATTCGTGTCTACCAAACAGCATTGTGCCCAACTACTTGAACATGTCGGTACCTCCTTATCCTGCGCTTACACGGGCACTCATCGTTGATGATTCCACATTGGCCTGGACCCTTGAGCCTCGTGGCAAAGCTTCCGTGGGTGCTGTCATATATGGACTTATCTCCCTTACTATTTCCTGATTTCTCATGGACTCTTTCTATAGCATCCGCCACAACCGGTACGGTGTGAAGATGAACTCGGGCGCAAACAAGCATTTCCCTATCATCGGATCGCTAGAAGTCGACCGCGGACTTCAAGGAGAGCGTGACGCCCATCACAGAGGAGATCTTCGAGAACAAGCCAGATGCGGAGATTATAGGATGGCCAAAGGAAAGCGGCGCAAAGTCCTTATCGCGATGAGTGTGAAGTGGAGACGCCACACGTGCTGGACAATATCACCCATGTTATCCTCGACAACCCCATTTTCCGTGTACAGATACGGTAAGTCGGACCCAGTCACTCCAGCCCTCCGAGTTATGAACGATCTCAATTCCAGCATCATCTCCTCTACTAGTACATGGAACCAGGTCATCGTAACCACCATCGCTGACCCCCCCCTTGTGGTCATATACCACAGCAATGACTACCGCGGCGTGCTCACTTCAATCTACCTCCTGCCCAAAGTAGTGCCCGTCTGTCTCGTTACACAATGCCAAATTCCAGGGTCTATGGCCGCTCCGAACTTCCGAAGAAGAGATGAAAGAAGTCTGCTCCGCGTTCAGCATCAGCAAAGAACGCTGTATGAAATATGTCCAGTTCGGAACCACATTTAACCTGCTTCACGCTGCTGCATCGTTTATCAAAAAAGCATTGATGTCACCGGAGTGTCAGACAAGCGTGGAAAGCTCATGATCGTGTTTACTCGAAGCTGGAGTTTACTGCATCGCCGCCTTGATGATCTGATTAGTGGTGCTGATTTTGCTCTGATTCCTTCCTGTGACGAATTGTTTGGATTGGTCGGAAGAATGGTGTCATTGCTGTTGGTAGTCGATTTGGTAGACAACTCGGTCACTGGTATTGGGTTGATGCCTGCCAGATGGTGAGTGACCAAGGTCCTCTTCTTGATGGCACGATCTGACAGGATTCCTAATAGTGGTTCCCTGCGGAGTCTACCTTGGAGATCTTGTTGAAAAGCCTGGAGAAGACGTAGTGCTTTCCCTTTGCCTCTAAGAATATCTTCTTATCTTAGATGGCCCATGAACTCCACGCGTGCATGAACAATTCTTCAACTACTTCCGCTCCAAAGATCACACTTTTGCTCCATCTTCTTCAACCATACCCTCCAAGAGGCAAGATGACTCGGAAGCGTGCGCCTGGTAAGCATAATGGTACTACGTGTAAGTCACTTTAACATCGCAAATTTAGACCTGTGGGACGTTGGGAAAGACTCCTACCACCACACATTCTTCGAAATGCTCGGGAACAGTGGTCATTTGGCGATTATTTCAAGGTTTAGTGCTTGTTTTCCGACAGCTCGATCTCACCGACATCTCAATTTTACAGAAAGAAGCTATCTTGGACCTAGTATTGACTAACGTATTGCGGGCTGCCCAAAGACCAATTATATGTTACCTACTGCGCTGGAGACCTACGAAATGGAACATTCACCGACGAGGAAGCGGTTTGAAACAACACTGGCTAAGGTAGGGTATCTCACCAAATCACGTTATCGCGTCAAAAGTAAACTTCTGGGGTAAGACATGTTTTGCCATCCAATGAACGATGTGACTCATTCACTTCTGCAGCAGAAATGGGCGTAATGGGCCGGACCCTGTGGGCCTTGTAGGTACGTATGTATACTTGGGAGCCTCCATAAGACTCAAGTCACTTCAGAGTCTGCAGGTCTGTATCAGCGTCTTTCGGGAGTTTCTGGCCAGTGCGTGTCCAAGGTCTGTCTGCCCGCCGTCTTACATTATCTGCTGATTATCTTAATGAGAGAGGTGGCTCGATGGTAGAGAAAGAGCCGGCAGGCAGCGATGGAACAGGCACGGACTGCAAGGGAAACCAAGGCCAACCCTCTGTAGCGGGAGGCTGCAGTTCTATCTGTCTAGGACTGACTATAACACAAGCTCAGGACCACTGACTACGAACGAGGACACCTGCCACTGCGCCAAGACCTGCCTAGGTCTGATAGGATGTCCCGTTACAGTGAGAGAGACGGCGAGTAACAAGAGAGATGGCTCGCGATGACAGAACTGACGGTGGGATGAGATTATCAGCAAGACGGCGGGTAACGCGCACTGGCCAATTCCCGGACTTTCTGCCTGATATCATATACATACCAGTATGGTGATAGGCAAATGTTATTTCTTTCGCAAGTCCTGTGGAGCTACAGCATGTAGAATCAACCATGTAGATCGACTCATATCGTCCTATTTCTCGGTTGTCAATTCTGTGCAGCGAGTCTGTCTACCAACATAATTCCATATGGGAGTCTGGACTCATTCTGGAATCTAGCAGGCTGTTGTATTTAAGCTTACATAAAGGTGTCTCTGACTCGACGAACTTGGGGAGGGTTGAACGGTTCTGTCAGTTCGGCATCCAGTGTATGCATTATAATATTTCCTTTTCCTGCTAAAATATGATGTTCTATATATAACATTGTAATCAAAGCAATATCTGAGCATCACGATCTAGCATTGTAAGCCCAGCATAATTAAGGAAATATGATATTGCTCAACAAATTGTACCTAATTATGCTATTATACCTTGCTAGCTGCGATGGTGCAAAACCATAACTTTGTCGGGAGTTCTCATACGAATCTAGATTGGATCACAAAGGCTAATGGCGCTTTCCATGATAAAGCCTTGAGTGACATTGTAGTTCCAAACATAAATAACAGAATATGATATTGCTCAACAACTTGTACCTAATTATGCTATTATACCTTGCCAGCTGCGATGGTGCAAAACTGTGACGTTGTCGGGAGCTCTCATATGAATCTAGTTTGGATCACAAAGGCTAATGGCGCTTTTCATGATAAAGCCTTGAATGACATTGTAGTTCCAAACATAAATAACAGAATATGATATTGCTCAACAACTTGTACCTAATTACGCTGCTATAACTTGCCGGCTGCGAGGGTGCTTAGTCGTGACATTGTTGCGAACTCCTCATGGTAATTTAGATTCTCAGACATCCATTGCTATGTACCAACAACTCAAATTTCTCACAGTATACAGCGCCATATGCAGCAGAAGCAGAATTATGTAGCCCTATAGTTCCCACGGCTACCATGTCAAGGACTCATGAGTTCTCTGATGAGATGCTGTGGGCAGAGAAATTATCAATAAACATGCAAATGTGCCGGTTTTGTTGCTTCATCTGAAGATCGAGTTTTTTGATCCATCTAGGCCACTGATTAGATATTAACAGCAATCATATCATCATGTCCACGTACTCCTCAAATATGACTGCTGTCATCCAAGCCTTCTTATTATTCCGATAATAAAATCCCCGCTGTTCCGGTGTCTGCTTCTTGAAGCATCGGGGTTTCTTTGCCCTGCCGATAAAAAAAGGCTCGAGCCTCTCGCTTCCATCTGCGTTGCAGGCTAATCCGATGGAGATACGGAATTTCTCTTTCTTCTTACCACTCATTTGTCGTGTTGCAAGGCCACGGTCTGGAGGTGCACTAAAATGAAAAAAAAATTAGGTGACATAGATTAATATAAATGAACACTCACTAAGGAAAGAATGATGTCTCGTCAAAATTCCACCGATCTTTGGGAGCAAACTTCACCAAGATCTTACGACAACGCTCTCGTTCTTTATCAACAGCTTCAATGTCAACAGACCCAGCTTCTCCATGCCGTCGGTACTCGCGAATCTTGTAGGCAGTACAAAATGATTAGAGCCATTCCCCCGACAGCCTTTCATTTTCCGGGACATCAAACTCATCTTCAAACCTTTTCCGTTTCTCTCGCAGCATAGGCCCAGTCACTGTTTCACGTCTACTCTCCATGTGCCTAACCCACAGAATTAAGGCACGTTCGACATCGGGCCTTGTGACAATCCTTGGCCGCTTCGATGACAATGCATTAGGGTTATCGTTGATCCGTGCTTCCATTTTTGGACGTTCCCGCAACTTGCGTGATAAGGTTGACTGCGTGAAATTGAGTGCACCCGACTTGAGAGATTTAAAGTGTTCAACAATTTCAATCTGTGATACAGTAGGATGAGAATCAACAAATGAATAGACTGTTAACCAGTCAGAGAGTGTAAGATTGTGGCGAGAAGTGCATTTGGGAGAATGAGCTGAAGTTCGAGGAGTGTCCTTGGTGATTTTCTGCCGCTTCGCAGGTCGGTTATAGACAGCGGGCTTGTCACGGGGTTTGCGTTTTGGGTTTACGGACATTGTTGTGTGGTATCGTACTGTCGTGATTACTTGCTAGCTTCTATACATAGTCGAACGAGACAATACCACTGAAGCAGAACAATAAATTTATGCAATACATTGTCGTACCTATTGTCCCGTCCTATCAATTTGGTACCTCATAATGCATATTGGCTATGCAAAGGTTATGCATTATGCATTATGCATTATGCGGTCAATTACATGGGAACGCCGTCGGGATCCAAAAAAGTCCATGCATTATGAGACTTATGCATTGTTAGCATATGCATTATGAGCATTTCAACTGTACTTGGAAACAATTTGATGGAACGTGACTGTTACAGTAGCACGTGACCCATCTCATTTCAGCGCGTTGTGTGACAGTCAACGCGTTGCTTGCCACCATGGATGACAAGGACCCCATGTACCAGTTCTTTGACGAAGAAGATGTAGACCTTTACGCCGTCTTGTCGCTTAAATCAGATACCTCCGCAGAAGATATCCGCAAGTCTTACAGGAAACTTGCTTTGCTGTGTCATCCTGACAAACTAGTTAACGCCACCGAGGAGGAAAGGGTCAAAGCATCTACGCAGTTCCAGAGGATTGGTTTTGCATATACCGTACTAAGCGACGAAAAGCGGAGGAAGAAATATGACAAAACCGGAAAGACTGACGAAGGATTACTCGGTGAGGCGGATGAAGACGGTGGTTGGGAAGCTTACTTTGAGGACCTATTTGATCGCGTCACACGCGGGAGACTGGACGAAATGAAGAAAGAATATCAAGGT